CTCTCTCTCTCTCTCCCTCTCTATCCTTGCTGCTGAGCTTCGTGTGTGTCTCTCTTCCACTCAGCCTCGAAAGAAAATCAATCTTCAGAATTGTGAGATCCACGTTCCCACAACCTTGCACAAAAATGACTCTCTGTGACTGCGCCGACTGAGCCTTTTGCCCTCCATCTCATGGAGCGGGAGAGGAGAGCGATTTTGCGTCGCCGTGACAGAAATTTTTGTTCCCAAGCTGAGGCTCGCCTTTGTCGTAGCGGTCCAACGCGACGCACTTTCATGGCTTTCGGCTGGGATGCATTTCTTCTAAATTTGCAGCAGAATGGCGGAAGAGCAGAGCTGCGATGATCGTTGCGTCAGGCCGCCTCGCCTCTCGCTTCTTGGGCTCCAAGTGACGCTGCGCTGCACAAGGCCTGCCAGTTGACGAGCTTCGAAAGCGGTGGCTGCAGCTGCCCGCGGATTAGCGGTCGACTGAGAAATCCACAATCGGCGGCGGCTCTTTTTCCCCCTCCACCATATCGTTTTCACCAACACACACACAYATCCAACATGCCCAAGAACAAGGGAAAGGGAGGCAAGAACCGTCGTCGCGGAAAGAACGACGTTGGCGACAAGCGCGAGCTCGTCCTCAAGGACGAAGGCCAAGGTAAGCCCCCTTGCCTCGCCATCTGCAAACCCTGCGACTGCGCCGTTTTTCACTGACTCTTTGCACTTCATGACGTTCGATAGAATACGCTCAGGTGCTCAAGATGCTTGGCAACGGTCGTTTGGAGGCACAGTGCTTCGACGGTGAGAAGCGTCTGGCGCACATCCGCGGCAAGCTGCGCAAGAAGGTGTGGATCAACCAGGGCGACATCATCCTCATCTCGCTGCGCGACTTCCAGGACGGCAAGGCGGACGTCATCCAGAAGTACAACGCAGACGAGGCACGTGCACTCAAGCAGCAGGGCGAGCTGCCCGAGTCGGCCAAGATCAACGAGACCGACACCTTCGGCGAGGAGGAGGGCGGAGACGTAGAGTTCCAGGAGGGCTCCGACGACGACGACGAAGACTCGGATGACGACGACGACCTCGACGACCTCTAGAGTTCCGCTTCACCCCCCTGGCACCCTCATCCGTTGTACGATACACACACACACCCACATGCGCGCCTCCAAAAATTCAACGCACCACTCGTGCACATCCAGAAAAACAATCGTCTTGGTTGCATTGGTCTCACTGTGGACCTGCGGACAATCAAGCCCATGGATTCGAATCGTTCGAATCGGGCAGCTTCGCATTCTGGCCGAGCGGCGAGAGCGAGCGGCCCTTGAGGAAGGTCTCGTTGTCATCCACGTCGATGCGCGTCGAGACGAGTCGGTCCGTCTGAGTGTCTTGCGCGTCGCTGCACTTGTGAGGTTGTCCGTCGGGCGATGTGCTTGGGTCGGGGTTCGGCGTGGCCGAGCGTGAGGCGTTGGGCGAAGGCGTGTACTGCTTGCGAAAGATGCGCGTGCCGCCGGCGCGAAGCGCTGGATCGCCGCGTCGACGCTCCATGAGTCGCTCCCGCTCCTCGGCCTTGTAGTCCTCCACCACCAGATCCACTGCGCCGTACGGATCGTCCTCTTTCGCCTCGATCTTGGGATCGCTTGGCGCGTCCGCCTTCGCCTCCGCCGCTTGCGTGGTCTTTGAATCCTGCGACTTGCTGTTCGTCTGTTGGCCCTCCTGGTCCTCTTTCACTGGAGCCTTTGCAGACTCATCGCTGACCTTGGCCTTGCCCTTCGCCTTACTGCTCCCGGCTTGCTCGTCTCTCTGTGCCTCGCCGTTTGTTCCACCCTGTGCTGCATCATCGCCACCTTCGCGCGGCCTAGCCTGGGTCGGTTCGGTCTTGGCCTTCTTGGATAGCGTAGCCTTGCGTCGGCGGCGGTGGACGATCTCGTCGTCCTGCTGCCAGCGCGAGTGGCGTGCCTGCTCGCGCGTAATGTCGATGTTCGGATAGGCATAATCGCCGAAGTTGAGCGTCCGCGAACGCTCGTACGCCTCCTCCTCTTCCTCGTCCGGACTGTCGAAGCGCAGGTCCTCGGCCTCCTCGTCCGAGTCGAGCTGGCGCTCGGCGAAGAAATCGAGCCCCTCGCCCGCATGCCGCACCGCACTGCGCGCCACCTTCTTCGGATGCGGCAGCAGCGGGCTGCGTTCCGAGCGTTCCTGGTGCTCCAGATCCGGGTCCTCGTGCACGATCTCACCAGCCTCCTGGGGCGTGAGCGGCGCATGGCCCTCGAGCTGCATGCGCTTGTCGTTGATGTACCGGCGCAGCTTCTTGAGCGGGCCCTGATGGCGCGCTCCTTGCGTAGCGTCGCGGATATCACCCGTGCCGCGCTGCGGCAACCAGTACTTGCCCTTGCCGCCCTGGGTGTAGCGCAGTCCGGCCTTGGACCTGCGCTCGCGCGCGAGCGGCTGGTGGATCACGCCCTCGCTCGGCTCGAACGTCTGATAGACGTATCCCGTGCCGCGCACGGTGGTGAGGCTGTCCGAAAAGACGTCGTACATGCCGATGCAGTCGCGCAGCGCATAATACACGGGCAGCCTCGCGGCATAGTGCGCAAACGGATCGATGTAGTCGGTGTGCGAAAAGGCGTACGCATGCGCCAGCGCAAAGATGGGCATCTCGAGGCAGATCATAAAGTCCTGGATGGCCATCGAGATGTACTCGGGATCGTACACCGGACCGACCTTTTTGAGGATGCCGGCCGCCACGAGGATCGAGATGCCAAGCCCCTGCCAAAAGGAAAAGAAGATGATCCCCTTGATGCACAGGAACTTGGACGTCACGCGGAACGGCTTGAGGTCGCTGTTGAGGCACTTCCACACCATGGCGAGGCAGTAGAGCGAGAGGAAGACCGACACGTTGTATGTGAAGGAGACCCATGTGTATCCGTTGCTGACTGAGATCTTGCCCTCCTCGTACTTGCCCGCCGCCTTGAGCAGCAGCGTGGCTACGGCCAGGACGGGCTTGACCTGCACGTACTGCAGCACACCGCGCTTGAGCGCGAGGAAGGTGTACGGATCCGAAGCGTCCATGTCGTGCAGAAAAAGATTGGCAGGGAAGAGATGCTGCTGTGGGCGTCTGCCATGGAGGAGGACGATGAGGCTGCGCTCTCCGCCGAGATACTCGATGAGCAGGTTGAAGAAGCAGTAGATGACGAACGCCTCGTACAGATCGCGGAAGAGGTCGATGATGTCGGCGAGCTCGAGTGAGTAGAGCGATATGACCGAGGCGATCGAATAGATGGGCACCATGAGCAGCAGCCGCACCACGTAGCGCTGCAGCGTCGGCTTGCGGTAGTTCTTGAGCTGCTTCCAGATGAGGAAAAACGAGAAGATGGTGGCAAAGATGGCGGCCAATGTCGAGGTGACGAGCAGCGAGGTGGGCAGCGACCTTCCTGAGCCGCTTCCCTCGGGACTCTTGTGCTCGGGCTCCTTGGCGAGCATCGTCGCGGCGAGCTGATGCGGCCACGACGCCGCTGAGTTGAGAGACGGCATGATGAGCAGCAGCGACGATGGAGGCGCAGCCCTGAATGTGGCACTGTAGTCTGCTGGGTCGATGATGCGATGTTGATCTACTTGACGAGCATGGTTGCAGCTATGGTCGTGGACTGCGTTGCCGCGACGAGGAGGGTTGCGATGGGAGTACGATACGATGGAAGTTGACAGCGACAACAGGCTGCATCTGTGCGGGGGAGACCACCTCCACACGGCCAACTGAGCCTTTGCGCAGCCGTGGCTCCAAAATAGCAGTCTCCACGGGACGGTCCCTCGATGCGGCGGAAATTTTCCAGTATGTTACATCGATGCTTCCACCATTTTCGAGCGGTCGCCTCGCGGGCTGCAGCGCGCGTCACCGTGCAGCCAAATAGGGCGGGCGCTTCAGGGGTCGAAACCAACACACCAACACCTGCCTATCTGGGCGAACCCACCTTGGTCCTCTCATAACCCGAGCCCACGCTTCTCCATTCTCCCACCCTCGCGCGCACCTCTTTTACGGCTTCTTTCACTGATGCTGTGGCGCTGATGAAGCCATTCGCTCGTAACGCAGAGCACCAAACGTTCGGATCGAGATGAACCTCCTCGGTGAGCTGGCGAGCAGCTCTTCGGCGCTGCTCTTTGGACCTCCAGGTACGCAACCCCTTATATCACCCTATCCACTTTTTGAGTCCGGCTGACGATCTCTGTCTGTAGCACCTGTGGCGAAAGATCCACCGCCACCGCCGAAGCGCACAGCCATGACTGCGTCGAGAAAAGCCGCGCTGCTCAAGCCGAACCTCGGGCTTGCCGAGCAAGCACAGGAAGGTACGAAGGATGAGGCGCCGCTGCCGGTGATACCAGAGACGGAGAATAAGGCTGCATCGGTGCTGGTGAGCACGGGCGCTTCGGCGCTCAGCTTCCTCGGCAGCACCGTGGTCAGTCTCACCTCGGCAGCCGCGTTGGCTCTCGTCTCGCCGCATCCAGCCGCCGAAACCGGCAGCGCAAACACAGCAGCGCCAGGGGAGAAAGAAGGAGGCACGGTATTGGGCACTCTATCGTCGGCGGTGTTTTCATCTGCTGCTTCGGTGCGCGATATGGTGCTCGGATCAGCCGACGCCACCTCAACCAACGATGCTGGAAAGGATTCGGCGCCGCCGAGGGTGAAGCGCGCATCGACGTTGCCCGTGCAGCTGACGGCGACGGGGGAGCCGTTCTCGGACGACCCGAGCGTATCGGCCATGCAGCGCATCCCAGACCATCCATGCGGCCATGTTGCGCACCACAAGCTCACGCACTGCTGCTCGGCACCTGCCATCCCCACCACCGCATGCACATGCACATGCTCCACCACCAAAGACCCACAGTGCGAATGCGACTGCCACCTCAACGCCGCCAACGCACGTCGAGACTCGGGCCACTTTCACCGCGTCGAACAGCTGGTCAAGGGCACCAAACGGGTTGTGCGCGACATCAGAAACGTCCTCTGAAAGCTTTCCTTTGCATTGTAGGTGCCGCGAACAGTCTAGAATACAGTATAAATGTCCGACAAAACCAACGCGTGCGGCATAGATCAGAAGCGACCAGCATCCATCATCTGCGCCTCGATCCCAAATGCCGTATTAGCAAATCCGCCACCATCACCTGCCCCTGCGGTCTGCTGATGACTTTGTGTCTGTGCATCTCCCGCACCGCCCTCAGAAATTTGACCCATGCGGCTAAAGTACGCGTCCCAGTTGGCGAAATCGAGCGGTGCGCCGGGGATGCCATCGAGCATGGTCGGATCCACGCGCGACGCAAACATGCCTGCAGCCGAGTTGGCCTCCGAAGCCTCTCCCGCCCCCGTCTGTGCCGTGCCCGCGTTGCTGCCGTTCTGGTTGAGTACAAACTCGGCCGGCGCCCAGTAGGCATTGTTGAGGTGCGGGTTAAAGTTGAAGCTAGGGCTCGTGGGTGTGATGGCGTTCTTGGCCACGGACAGTTGGGTGCCCGCACTGCCTACACCCAGCTGCGCCAGGTTGCCAAAGTAGCCGCTGCCACTGCCACTCGAGCCCGAGGCGCCAGTACCATCGCCACTGCTCGCCTTGGACATGTTGGCGAAAGCAGCGAGGTTCGAGTCGAGGAATGCGTTGCTCGCTCCCATCGCATCCGGTGCGATGGGAACCATGGTGAGCAGCCGCGTGCCCGAACGCGTCACAGGCCGTCCGTCGGCGTCTTGCCACACATCGCCGCCAAGATGGGTAAAGTTGAGCACGGATTCGTCGCTCGGTGCCGGCGTTTCGCTCAGAGCTGCGCCGGCCGTTGACGTCGGCACGGCCGAGCTCACCGCGGGGACGCTGTTGGTGAGTGCACCCGAACCCGTCGGCTGCTGCGAAGCGCCTGCCGCCGTCGCAGACGTGGAGCCGGCCAGGCCGAAGCCGGCCGAGGCGGGGAGAGTGGAGGTGCTGACGCTGTTGAGCATGGCAAAGCCGCCATTGGCAAGCGCAGCTGCAAAGCTGTCCTGCGCCCCGGTGCCCGTCGAAAGGCCAAGCGCCGCGCGGTACTGCTCGTACGTCTGCCATCCGCCGTTCTGATCGTTGCCCGTGCGTACGAGCGCCGGGATTCGGCTGCCGTCCTGGTTCTCCTGCATGATGATCGTGCCCTTGGGCAGGTCACGCAACAACAGCCTCTGGTCGGCAGCAATGTACACGCCGCCCCCAGGCCTCGATGCATCCGGCTTGAACACGATGCCGCGCACGTTTTCACGCGACTTGCGGTTGGTGACGCCTGCGGTCGGGTTGAGCGTGCCGTTGGAGCGCGTGTTGGCGTAGACGCCGGCGCAGCTGTCGCATAGGAGCGAGATGACGCTAGCAGCCTTGCCGCGCATGCTGACGTCGTCGGGCTCGTGGTTCTCGCGCCGGTAGCGGCCCATGATGTCGTTGAGCTTCTTGAGCTGCATCTGGGCATTAGTATCGCCTCGACGCACAAAGGCGTGGTACTGCACCGTGGCGCACGAGACGAGGCAGTACGAGACGATCTGCATGGTGTCGAGGTAAAAGTCGTTCTTGTCCACCCATGCAATGGCCTCGGTGGAGTACTGGATGAGGGCGCTCATGCGGTCGATGGTGAGGCTGAACTTGAGGTGCGTGGGGCAGATATACGAGATGCGCATGAACACACGGAAGAACAGCATCATCAGGCAGGCAAAGCCGACGTGCAGGATGCCTGCTGGAGCGCTTGAGTCGGCGCCCTTGAAGACGAGCTCGGGGGGCAGTGCCGCCTTCCACGTATCGATGTCGCGCAGCAGGCTGAGGATCTCCTCGTCCGTAGCATTCATGAGACCTGTCGGGCTGTAGATGGTCTTCATGACGCGGCCGAAGAGGATGGTGAGCTTGAGCATCTCGGTGTTGTAGGCAAAGGGGCGGTCCGTCGACGGATCCGAGGGCAAATCGTTCGGGGAGCGCAGGATCTCGAACGGCGATGGCAGACGAACATCGCAGTCGGTGAGATCGATCATCATGGGATGGCCGAGCGCGATGCTCTGCATGCGATCGGCGGTGACGCAGCAGCCCCAGATGCGCCTCTTTTGCTCGAGGAAGAAGGCGTCGCGCGAGAGATCGTCCTTGCCACTGGCGTCGCGATGTAGACCCAGATCCTGCGCCATGCGGATGGCAGCCCCCGTGCGGTTCCAGCAGCGCGTGCCACTCTGGAGAGCCGCTGGCCCGTGCAGATCGGCATGGAGAGACATGACGAGCAGCGCCCTCACGGTGACCGAGTTGGAGGAGGACAGAAAGTCGTTTTCACGAAAGAGCGCGTTGATCGTCATCTTGACGGCGCCAAGCACCTCCTTGGGCACGCCTCGGCTCAGCGCGGCGACGCCGCAAATGGCGTACAGCAGCAGCGGCGGCGTGGGCGAGAGATGCAGGAACTCGGACTTGGTGACGACGGGGAAGAGCGTAGCGACCTTCTCAAAGTAGGTGTTGACGAGCTTTTCGGCCACATCGCCTGCGAGGCGGCCTTTGATGGACTCGGGGATGCGTACGACGTCGTCCTCGTCGAGCTCGACGGCGACGTTGGCATCCTTGGCGGCATCGGCGCCTGCCATAGTGCCCTTGCGCGCGCGGTGGAAGCGGATGATGCCATCGCCGCTGGCGCCCACCTCGAAGGTCTGATTGTGCTTGATGTCGTGCGCCTCGATGGCAGCGCCGGGGATGAAGGCGGTGGAGTGGACGATGTAGGCGATCGAGGTGGGCCCGAGCACGCGGGTATCGGGAGGCGGCGTGCGCGATGGGCTCCTGCGCTGTGGAGCGGGGGTGGTGAGGCTGGAAGACGAGCTGGATGGATGCAGGTGGGCTGGCGTCTGCTGGTTGGCGCCGAACGAGTGCTGTGGGCCGGCGCTGGAGAAGGAAGGCTGCGAGTGGCCGGCCCAGAACTGCTGCGAGGCGCCGGCGAAGCCAGTGGGATTGTGGAGGGCGCCCATGAAGGGCTGCGCACTCATCATGGCGGCATAGGCAGGGTGTCCGACGGGCACGTGCATGGGCAGTTGACCGGAGAGGGCGCCGTTGGTGCCGGAAGCGGCTGCGACGGCGGCTGCTGCGGCTGCAGCCTCCTCGGCCTCGCGCTGGTATTTCTTCTTGAAGCGAGTCTCTGTGATGGGGAGGAAGAAGGTGCATTCGAAGCCGTACTGGCGGCAGTGTGCGCAGACGAGGCCGCCGTTTCCATTGTTGACCGAACCGACGGGCGGACCGCCGTCGTCGATTACGTCGCAGCGGATCTTTTTGCGTCGGCACGAGTCGCATGCGCGCGCGGTCTTGATGCGCTTGGAAGACTTTTCGGCGGAGCCCGGGGTGGAGCGGAGATCGTCTTTCGGGGCTTGACCGTTGAGAGCATCAGCGCTGGTGTCGTTGGTGGAAGGGCTAGCGTGTGAAGAAGAGTGTTCTTGCTTGAAGAGGTGTTCGGACTCGGAGTCTTTGCGCTTGTTGGCCCTGCTACCGGGCGTCCCGGTGGAGCTAGACGGGGTTGCAGCGGCAATGCCCTCGGGGGAGAGCTTGAGGCCAGCAGAGTCGTTCATGGCGGTGGAGGAGGGCAAGCAGGAAAGAGCGCGGCTGGCGATGGTCGTGTGAGACTCTGTCGGAGGGGGCAGCGGGGCCGAGAAGAGCGATGGGAAGAGGCGAGGTTGATTGCGGGTCTATAGCGGCAAGGCGCACGAGTGCATGGCCTCGGTGGTGGAAGTTACGGTGTGCGGGGAGCGACGATGCCTTTCAGAGGGTGAGCATTCCCACGTTACAAGAGCAAAGCTGCCGAGGATCTGCGCTGGATCAAGCCAGGGTCGTGTCGGAGGATGCTGCCATCTATGAGGCTGCAGGGATGCGTTGCGAGTCGGAGGCTGAGGTCGACAACGAATGAGCGAGAAGCCCGACGAGGTGAGGGGGTCGCGGTTGGGGATCGCGTGCGAGACCTGCTTGGTTGCGATCGACGTGGATGTGTGTACGAGGCGTAGTCAAGCTGCAAATAGGATGCGAAGGCAAACGTTGGTGATGGAGATGGTGATGGCGACGCGAAAAGGTGAGCGGATGAGCGGACTCGGGTAGGACTAGGACGAGGGTCGAGGTCAGGCGAAGTACTGCAGGGCGAGGCGAGGCGGAGCGAGTTGCGTTGAACGTCGGAATGCAGTCGAAAAGTCGCATGTGGATGCGGACCGGTTCGGTTGTTCTGGGCAGGGCAGATAGAGAGGGTGGAGAGCCGTGCATCGGGTTGAATGTGCGGAGAGGGCCGGCCTTCAGGCACGGATGCTTCTGAGAGCTGCTGAGAGCTGCAAGCTGCAGCGCTCCACTCGCATCGCAATCTCGACTGCAATCACACACGAAATTCCAGCCGCTCTCCGGCCCCGCCGATTCACACACCTTGGAAGCGCCAAGCTGGATGGCAAACAGAGCAGAATTCCAATGAGTACCACTGCTCCGGCCGCCTCCTTCCTGCGTGAGGCGCGATGGCTTGGCCAGATGCGACGATGTTGCTTGGGCCAGCCCTGATTGTGCAAAAGGCCAGGCACGCGAGCCAGGAACGCGCGCGTGTGCTGGTGAAAGCTCGCCTCTGTATCACCTCGTCGTCGCCTCGATGCGACGTGCTCGAACAAAGTCCACGGCGTCCTTGCCTTGCCAACAGCTACGACGGCCACGTTTGCATCCAATGCAGACGTCGCCAGCTCGTCGTGGGCTCTGTCGCTCTTTCTGGCTGTCTGGCTGTGAAACCCAGCCCGGTCGGTGTTTCGAATCGTGGGCTGCGGATTTTCGGCCAAAAAACTCCGATGGCCAGTCCAAGGAGGGCACGCGCAGCATCTGCGCTGCCAAAAAAGGGGAGGAAAAACGGGCTCGAACCTCGTTGACGCCGCATTTCCGACGATGCCATGCCGGTCGGGGCGCTTCTCTCGCAAGCGCTCCATTTACGGTAGCCCCGCCTCGCCATGAACCGCGCAACCGCCGGTTGGCCTGTAGCATCTCGATGGCCGTGGTGATTGCTCGCCGAGATAGCGTCAGCCCACTGCATCTTCGGCCAACCTTGCGTGTCGGACCAGGCCTCATCTTCGCAGGGGGGATGGGGGCCTTGCTCGAATGGTCGCCGGAGTCGCAGCGTCATACCATCCCTTGCTCGGCGCTCGGATGCACACGCACACGCACACGCATACAGTAGCAACGCCGCTCGAGGCTCTTGCGAGCCACGCTAGCCATCCTCTGTCTGCATGAATCCCGACCCTTCGCATCATGCCCATGCTCGCCTGTCGCGCCACCATTGGCCCCAGTCTGGGCCCAGGGTTGGAGATCGCTTGCCTTGACATCTGCATGCATGGCGGCCACCGAGCCCACCCCGGTGCCGCCGGTTCAGGAAGTCTGCACATTCCCTTTGCCCTCCCTCGCCCCCTGTCTTTGCCGCCTCCTCACACACGCCCGCGCATCTTCTTACCCCCAAAGCCATGGCCTACAAAACAGGAAAGCAGGTTGAAAGAATAAACACACGGAAATTGCACGCCCCTCCGGAAAACGTGGCCATGCCGAGATGCCGAACCCAGCCCGTCGGAACAGTTGCGCATCGCTGCACCGGACAGTCTTCGGGTCAGATTCGCTCCATAGCGCTGTCTGAGGGGCACATCATGCGTCGCCACGTTGCCCTGGCCTGCATCGTAAATCACACATCGGGGCGCGGTATCGGCGACCGCGGGCCATCGTCATGCGTCTGGTGTCGCCTTGAAGCCAGTGTCGGTAAGCATCGTTGCTTGGCAAGTCTGCCCGTCGTGCGTGCGTTGGCTCGTACTGTCGTCGCTCTTGCACATGTGAGCCACCTGGACCGGCGCAAGCGAGTCAATGCTCGACTCTGCCCCCGGCAGTACCTCGTCGAAGTTGATGGTCTCGAGGCTCGGGCTTGCCTTGCGTTCCCTTTGTGTGGTGAGAAATGTGCATTGCGCGCGAAACATCCTGCATGCCCAGATGCCACATGCAATCCCCTGCATCCTTAGTGGCAGATATGGATTCGCAAGTCGCCCGCCCAACACCACGGTGGCCACCATAGCTGCTCCCTTCAACGCCACCGAGCCTACGCCGAACAGTGCTGCATCGCGCAACAGCATGTGTGCCACCTCTCCCCTCCGCGGCGAAGCGTCTTGCAGGATGGGTACCACCACGACGAGCGTGAGTGTGATGTCCGTGACGATGGCAATGGCCAGCATGGCGACGATCCACTCGGGCACGAACCTCGGTCCATCGAAGCCCGTCTCTAAGGATAGCACCAGGGTTGCGATGCCTCCGGCGAACTCGGCTGCCAGTAGCATGTGGATCAACAGCGTGAGGAGTATTGGCCGGTGGAAGTGGATCACAAACGCTCGATATCCTACCAGCGTTGAAGTGGCGGTGAATGTGAGCGGGAGTAGCGCAACGCGAAGCCAGCACATCGGTCGAAACGCAGTCCAGCCCGCACCGAGCGTTGGAATCGTCAAACATGCCAGCAGCATGATCCCCATCCCCATCGCATAGCGTGCTGTAAGGTACGCAATCGGCATCACCCGTACGGTGCGCTGTTGAACCATCGCACGAACCAATGCCGCATCGAACCGTAAAAACGACACCGTCTCTAAAAATCAAGCTCGTCAGTACCAATTCCAGCTTGATGCAGGATAAGGATGGGCTTACCTCCAATCACGATGCCTGCAAGCACGGCGGTGGTGTGCGTATCAATCAGGGTGACACTAAGCGGATCGTGCATCGTCATCCTCCCAGTCGTAAAGACGATGGTGTGTCGTCAAGATGCGATCATTCGCAGCCGTTTATCATCCATAGCTTCGGGGCGGCTGCGCTTACTGCATGTGGCGCACACACACTCGGCATTTGGCACACCGATGCACACTTGTGGCTCTGTGGCTTGCACGACATGCTCCACAGCCAAACGCTGTTCCCACCCTCAACTTTCTTTTCCGCCACGGCTTTCATCTCCACCCCTTCTGGGACGGACGAGACAACCCGATCCTCGTAGCCGTAATTACCGTCTCGCATCCTCGCCCTAAGCTCTGCCAGCTGACATTGACCAGCTGACACCCCCAACGCCACATATGAATTGCCCGAACGGCTCGAACTTCCGACTCGACGCTCGATACAACGATGAAGGCAACACTTTTGGGTTTTTTGCTGTGTGATACAAATACAATTTTGGTTGGGGTCACGAGGGATCCGCTTTTTCGCGAGACTATCATGCGCCTCGAGCCTTGATGGCCATGACGAGCTGGACCTTTTTTCTGACCATGTCGGCGAACCTCCTACGGTGCCTCTCGCTCTTCTTGCGTCTTCGTTCCTCGTTGGGCTTCTCGTATCGCTGTTGCAGCCTAAGTTCGCCGCGCACGTTGTTCTTCTTGAGCAGCGTAGCCAGCTGTGCATACGCTCTTGCCGGATCCGACGATGGCGTAACCCGAATGCTCCTGCCACTAAACGGCGTTGCAGGCCAGGACTGCTCGCCGTACACCGCACGGTTGGCCCACTCGGCTTCCAGATCGGCCACGTAGCCTCGACGCCCATCCGCGGGCCGCGAAAGACGCGCACCTGCCCCGCGCGTCGTCTTTTCATACGAATCCGCAAGCGAGTCCAGAATCGCACTGTAAGTCGATGCTGCCGATCCGGTCGATGCAGTCTTGGCAGAGGGCGATGTGGACGCAAGCTGCCCAAGCGACGTAGATGCAAAGCTGCGGCAAAGAAGGTTTATCGAGGCCGAAGATGTGCTCGGCACAAGCGCGGCAGTGCGCAGAGGTCGCGCAACAGCGCTGCGCAGCATCGACATCGTGGTTTGCCGCTGTGTGTGTGTGTCCGCCAGATATGCGGCGTGTGTGTGTGGTGTGGTGCGGTGGTGGTGGTCGAGGAAGAAAAGGTGCAGGTGGGCAGGCGAGCTTCCAGAAAAAAGCTTCGCGTGCCCTCGGAACCGAACGGCTGGTCGAGCCACGGTGCTGCGGAAAAATTGCACCTTGTTAGACCTTCATTTTTTGGGCCCCAAATCATTTCCAGCCAGCATTGTCTGTCGAAACTCAACACCCTGCTGCACAGACTCAAACGCATGTTCTGGCAATGTTTTGATTACAGGCTCAGTAGCGCTCAATTGCTGAAGAGAGACATATCGGGCAAGTGGACGTCGTCGTCGCGACGCCATCCTCTCTTTCGTAGACGCTCCACCTCGATGAGCCACTCGCGTGCGGCCGGGCTGATCTCTGCGTGCGTGACGAGAAAGTCGATCCTGTGCATGGTCCTTTGCATGGTCTCGATCGCCGCCGGGTCACCTTGCACCGTGTCCTCTGTTGTCGGTGAGCTTGCAACGGCGTCTTGCAGCTGCAGTGCATTGCTTTCTTCCCTCTCGCCCGAGCTCCTCGATCGAGCGTTCGGGTAAGCTCGACGATCGAGCGTGGCACCGACGGTGATGAGGAGCGCACAGGCGCACTCGATCTCCCACGCCGAGGGAATGTCGATGTAGGCAGTGCGCGTGAGGAAGCGGTCCAGCCAGCGAGCCACTACGCCGACCGTAGCCACCTCTTGAACGCCGAGCTCGCCGACAAATCTCACCACATCCATGGCAGCAAACTGGTTGCGTTCCTCCCCCTCCTGTGCCCATTGCTTGCGCAGGCTGGCCCGGCCCTTCCACGCGCTGCCACCTGCAAATGAGCATGCTTCTTGTCCATCCTTGTCGCAGCTGGGCGCGTCAAAGACCAATGCTCCCGTGCCTGGCAGGGCGAGCTTGTTGTCTCCGTCGACCATCGCCTCGCCTTTCTCGAGAACGATGTCGAGCTCGCCCATGAGCACGTTGGCAAACAGCTTGCCGTGGTTGATCTTCTCCTTGCCCTGGCTGGGCACGCCGAGCAGACGGCAGCACAGCTCGGTAGCCTTGTCAAAGTCGTGCACGATCTTGGCCGACACCAACGCGAGGTTGGCGGCGGTCTCGTACGGCGCGATTGGATCTTCGAGCAGGTGGATAAAGCCGGTGACCGCGTGTCGAAAGAGGTGGCTGCTGATGGCGCGCAGCTTGGCGAATCCCAGCGCCGAATGTGCCTCTTCGACATACGAGTGCAGCCGGCAGACGGACGAGGTGAGGGATCGGAGAAACTCGATGCTGATCGATCGCACCGACTGACGCGGTTCGAGATACTTGCTCAGGATCGCATCAATGTCGTCTTCGACGCGGCCCATGTCGGCTTGCAGTCCGACTAGCAGCGACTTGCTGTACAGGGGCATTTCAGGCGCTTCCATGTTGGTGGCCGCGCTGCCGCTTCTTTCTGCTCCGAGCAATCGTTGGTGTTCTGGATCAAGCTCGGGAGTGGGAGAGCGGATGGTGATGCGGGGAACCTGCATCCTGGCGGCTGCGCGCGTTCGTGACTGGGTTGCTGGAGAGGGCGAGGGAGACGAGAGGGGACTACCGATCTCGGGTCGCAAAGGCTCTGTCTCCAGAAGCATGGGGTCAAGAGTGGGCGAGGATTGGACAGCAGCGTCAGCAGTCCTGGCGCGATGCTTTGCAGCCTCCGCAACATGCCCGTTACGCTTGTTGACCGCTGCCGGAGAGAGTTTGATGGTGCTGGTGCGTTTAGCAACCGTTTGCTCCTCCCTCACCACAAGCCCTTTGACGGGACGCTTCTTGGACTTGACCATGGTGAGCTGAGGATAGAGTGAGTGGCTGAAGCCGTGCGGCTTGGAATAGCATCGTGGAGTTCTCGCTGCGGCCTGCAACGAGCTGTGTGCTCTGTCGATTGAGTCGACTTGTGCAGAGGAGGTAGTGATGGCGTTGGCCACTCCAGGCGACGCACGTCGTGGCGAAAGCGACGATGATTGCGCCGTGGATCGTAGCGAGGTGTAGTACTGGGTGTTTTGCGACTTGATCGTGTAGGGATTGGGACGTGTGGCGACGTACGAAGCCAGAACAAGCCTATCCGGGCTGCTCGAAGAGCAGTGGAACGGGTCTGGATGAACGGATGGAGGGAACGAATGGAGCATCTTGGCTTCAGCCACTGCAATGGCAAGCTCTTTCAAAAGGAAAAGGATGGAATGTGGGCCAACAGTGGGTGTGTGAAGGTGAGCTCTAAGCGAGAGCCAGAGCCGGATGGGGAGGAGGTGGAATGAAGGCGCAGCGGCTGGCTGGCCAAGGAGCGTGTTGTCGAATCTGCGACGGCAGAAAGGGATGCGGAAGCAAGCTTTGAGAGTTGCGGCAATCCCACGCCGGTGGATGCGCAGTGCATGCGTTGCGAGCAAGATTAAGTTTGATGAAGGTGCGAGCGAGAGGAGCCGAAGCAGCGAGCCAAACGGCAACGGTGGCTTTATATGACGACGCGCCGTTCCGCCTGAGCCCACACATTCACTCACTCACTGATTGGACTGTATCAGTGCGGAGACGCGAAGCGGCGAAGGTGCGAAACGAAGCGACTTCGGACGACAAGCTCTAGCTTGCAGCCTCCAACTCTGCTCGCATGCGGCAGAGCGAGAGCCAAAGTCAAAGCTAGCGCCCGTGTCCGACTGCGAAGCTGGATGCGGTCGGCTAGCGTTCTCCAACGGGCCGCGGAGGCACACTGAGGCGCACTGACCCGTGATGGGCAGATCCAGCAGATAGGCTTGAGGGCGCCGACGATTCGGAAAAGCAGCCACCTGCGCTGCCGGTGTGGTTTTGCAGCTCACCCACTCGCCACAGACGCAGAAGCTTCCGAGAGGCGTGTGCGGTTACGATGCTGCCAGATGCGCCCGGCCCCGCCGCAAGACGGAAATATGCCGCGCTCGAACCGCTTGATGAATTCTCTCTTGGCCACAAAGACGGCCCGCGCTGACTGAAAGGACGCCGCAAGTGACTGCACAGAGGGACTGTGCTGCCGTGTGCTGACGCGGGTGCGGCGCTCGAGCTGTGGGCGGCGGTGCAATGCAGTGTGATTGCGTGCGCACGCACCTTGTGTCAAGGCATTATTTGGCGTGCTGGTGTCGGCAGGTGTCGGCAAATGCCACGATCTCATCCCGGCTGGCTGGCTGGCTCAATGCATCATGCAGCTCTCATGAGATCCGCAAGCAAGACGGAACCAAGCCACTCGGTTGACACTGACGAGTGAACTCGAACGCAAACCCAAAGAGGAGTGAGTACTCGGTCCTTTTCACCGCAACCTGCGCGCATGCCGAAGCTATGAACCCATCGAGATGGCTTTGCATGCTGGTGAGTTGCTGCCATGAAGTCACATCGAGAGCACGCTGCCGTGGATTTCACTTTCCCTCAAAATTCTTGACTAATTTCGTGGAGAAAAGAGGGTCACAAAATGCCGCTTTTCTGAAATTACAACGTGTTAGGTCGGGGACGCGCTTGCCAGCGTCGGAGGCGCGCCAGGGAACGCGTGAGGGCAGCGAGCACCGACTGGGCGCGCGGCCAAAACAACGCAAAACGCCTGCCTCCATGCCTGCCAGCTCAGAGTCGGGCACGGGAGCGCTCAGTGTTGCTCGAGCCCCAAAAAAATCAGCGAGACCAACACTTGGGACATCGGTGCGCCATGCAGTCGACCGCATCCTCCTCGCCTTCTCTTCCTCCATCCAGATACAGACCCATACGGAAACGCACAAGGTAGCTGCCGCATCCAGACTCGCAACAATGCCTTCCTTCACCCCGAACCCGAACTTTGACAAGGAAAACTCGAACCCCAAGGACTGGGCATACCATCTCGGTGAGTGGCAAGCTTTGACGAGCCAACTTGGAATGCAATGCGACGCTAACACCGATCTTCCCGTTTAATCCCCAACCTTTGAACATGCCTCAGGATGTCTGCCGCAGAAGCATCACATCGTCTTTACCAAGGAGGACTTTGTGGCCTTCCTCAAGCAGCACAACGTCCATGTTGGACCCAACTTTACCGAGCTCTCGCGGTTGCCCAAGTGAGTATCTTTGGCCTATGTCTGTAAGGAGACACGTGAAACTGACCCCTTGTCGCTCTGCTTTTCTTTCTGTGTCCTGTCAGGTACGCAACGATCGGCAAGCTGACAGTCTCGGACGACGCTGGCGCATCGGCGTCTGCGCCCGCACCCGCCGCCAGCCAAGCAGCTCAGCCCGCCTCGGTACGGGCACAGCAGGTGCAAGCAGATGAAGCTGCACGAGGCGCATCGAACGAGGCCAACGTGGTGTACACGAGCTCGGGCGACGTGTTCCGACCGAGCCGCAAGGTGCGACAGCTTCCCGGCGGTGGATCTGCGCAGGTGAGCGCGCTGTTCGGCAGCGGTGCCGACGAGGATGAGGAGCCAACGCCCGTTGCGGCTCGCAAGCCTGCCGCGCCTGTTGCTGCTCCCGAGATCAACGACTTTGAGCCACTGGGTGCTGCACCTGCTCGCCGCGTCGCGAGCGGCAACGTGGCCGCCGCCCAGGAGTCGCATTTCTACGACGACGTCAGCGGCGACAAGGCAGGCGTGTACGAAGGCGTACGCAACGATGCCGTGATGAACAACGGCTTCCGTCCTACCCGCCGTGTTCGTGTGCCCGGTGGCACGGGCGGTCTGTCGAGCATCACCTTTGATTAGGGAAGTCCCCCTCTAGGTTGCTTCTCATATACCCTGCAATAGCAGCCGTCGTTCTGCACCAAATCCTCATGGTACATGTCAGAACTGGAGACCTGTGGCATGCAGCCCTGCAAAGGATCGGCGACACACGAGGAGGGACAAGGTAGATCCGATGATCGGCAGCGTGTGGATCGGCAGCCGATCGGCCAAGCTTGCAGAGCAAACTGAGGCTCGGAACTCGGTTGCAGTGGAGCGTGGCGGAATTCCGAACGCGTTGCGGTGAAGGCGGAGAGAAAAAGAAAAGTGCGGGGAATCGAGACGCGCGCGGTCGAGGCTGCTCCGTATGCACCTCTGACATACGACTGCACTGCGAGCTCATCGTGGAGGGTAGAGAGAGAGAGTTGCGGGTGTCACAGGGGCGTGTCATCGTTTCCCCATCCAATGGATGCCGGGAGTGGATTCTGTGTGGGGTAAGGCTCCGAACACGGTCCCACATGGTCGATGCATCCGCCGGTCGATCTGCAGGTCCCCCTTAACCCCGACCAGGTGGATGGCGACAACGATGCACAATCACGGCACGATTTCGCCGGCGCGGGGGGAAGGTGCACCGGAAGGTCACACACCGGTTCGTACCGGCTACCGGTTTGTGTCGACCTACATCGCTGTACTGCCCGGCTCGGTTGCTCGCGAGTGGATGGATGGATGGCCGGTGAAGCGTGCCTGGGCGAGATTTGACCGAGTGTGGGGGAAAGCAGCAAACGAAGCAGCTCGGCTGCCATCCGAACGCCGTGCAGCTGCAAAAAAAAGGTTCCTGTTTTTCCCACGACAAGGCTCGGTGAGTCTTGGACATGTGGTCAATGCACTCGCATGTTGCCCTGTATCCGCTGTCCTTGCCTGCTGTCCCCTTGCACTGCCCGGGGGAGCGAAGAAAGGTCCGCGGAAGAGAGAAAGAGAGTATTTAATGTAGAGCCACGCCTCATGGCGATCCACACTGGCTTCATATGGTCTTTGTGATGTGTTGTAATGTGCAGGAATGACACCTCAATCCCACTCGGCATCTCCTGCATCTGAGCTGCGATCGTCCTGCGCATCAAGAGCATGACTATGGTCGCTGAGTTGCGGTGGCAGAGTCCGCTCCCCGTGCAGCTCGGTGGGTCAGTGCGTCGTGGAAAGGAGGCGTGGAGGCACCGGCAGCTGCAGCAGCTGCAGCACTGCACTGCAGTGGGCTTGGCTCCCCGTCGACGAAATTGCAATTTGCTGCAAATTTGCCCTGTCAGCCCCTGTTGGCAGTGGACCCTGTTCGAGGCGGCACAACCGCCGCCGCGCCCAAATCGAGCAGCTGCCCACCCTTCGTTTGGATCCTCCGCCGTCCAGTTCCGCGCTCCCCGCCAATCCCCCCCGCACGGCCTCGTCCGCACCGCTCCCACCTCGCTTTCTTAGCCGAGACTGGGATGGCAATGCATTTCTGTCCACTCACCTGACGTCCCTCATACTCCGTGCGGCCCTTCACAGCGGCACAGGCAATCATTACCTCCCGTCGCAGACGCCACCGGATCCGTCCCCGTCACGCCTGTATGAATAAAAGCGCCCCCACCTCGTCTAGATCCAAGCCAGCCTCTTTCGTCGTCATCCTCCCCTTTTGCTCCCCATCCTCCCCGTTGCTTGGCGCCAGAGTCTCATCCCGCGCCTCTCCACCGCCACCCTCGCCCAGATTACTCCCCGCCTGGACGTTCTCTTCTCCTCCCTTTCCCTCCCTGGCGTGCCAGTCCATCCTGCCTGGCTGATTCTCGTAGCACCCTCTAGACGTCCGACGTTATCCTCGCTCCCTGCTTTCGGACTGCCATCGTCTCGAGCTCGCAGCTAACTCGACCTCATCGACACGCTACGTCTGCCGACGACGATCAGCATGAAGACCTTCTCCTCCATCGGAGGCGTCATCGGCGCTCTGGCCATCGGTAGCCAGGTCGTCGGTGCGATTCCCTTCTTCTCTGAGCGAAACAATGCTCCCAGCGACGGAGCCGCCCCCAACCAGGCTCAACTCGGCCCTGTCCACATCCTCTACCAGAACGACCTGAGCACCAACGCCACCACCGGCGCCCTCCTGCTGCCCAACTCGGTGGGCGCCGACAGCGCTGCCCAGGTCTGCGAGCAGATCGGCGAGAAGCTCTTCCCTCTCGACACCTCGCTCCAGGGCGGCATCGGCTCCGACCTCATCGACCAGTTCAACTACCTGCGCTACGCCGGCACCATCGGCTGGTACGATACCTTCTGGACCAGCAACGGCGCCAATGTCGCCGCCTACAAGGCTAGTCGAGGCTCCGTCCGACCCTACGGACAGGGCGAGAAGCTCGGCGTGCTTTGCACCCACTCTGCCGAGCCCGCTACCGTGCCGCGCGCCAACCCCTACGCCAACGGCAGCCCCACCGACAAGCTCATCACGGTCCAGTCGGGCGACTACACCGTCACCGGCTACCGCGACCGACGGTCCTTCCGCTTCCTCGGCATCCCCTTCGGTGACGCCCCCGTCGGATCCAAGCGCTTCATGCACGCAACGCCTTACACGGGCAACAAGGTGCTTGACGCCACCAATTACCGCAATGCTTGCGTTCAGTCCACCACTCCGCTCGGTCCCATGCCTGTCGGCGAGGACTGTCTGAACCTCAACATTTACACGCCCACGCTCGGCTCGTACGACCGCAAGAGCCTCAAGCCCGTGCTCGTCTCGATCTACGGCGGCGCTTTCGTGAGCGGCCGCAACTCGCTTCACTCGTACGATGGCGGTAACCTCGCCTCGCGTTCCGACATTGTTGTCGTCACGCTCAACTACCGTCTGGGTGCACTCGGCTTCCTCGCCTCGGGCAAAGACCTGCCCGGCAATGCAGGGATCAGCGACCAGATCCTCGCGCTCAAGTGGGTGCGTGACCACATTGCTGCATTCGGTGGTGACCCGAACCGCATCACCATCGGTGGAGAGTCGGCGGGTGCGCAGAGTATTTCGGCGCTCATTGCCAGTTCCGAGGCCAAGGGCCTGTTCCACGGTGCTTTCATGCTGTCTAACCCGTGGGTGCCTTGGGTCAACCGCGCGGCTCAGTCCAAGTACATTACTCCTGCGGTGGCAGCCAGCCTCAACTGCCCCGTCAGCGGCCAAGCCATGGTCGAGTGTCTGCAGAAGGTGAGCGACCCTGCGCAGTTCGTTCAGGGTGCTGCATTCACCAATGCCACCAACGCCATCACCGTGGCGCTGTCCAAGGTGGGTGGTTCGAGCCTGTTTGGCGCATCGATCGAGCCGTTCCTTCCGACCCCGGACGGTATCCTGGATGGCCAATTCTTCTACCTTGCCGGCAACGGCACGATCCCCAACAACGTGCCTGTGCTGCTGGGAACCACTTCGGGCGAGGGCTCGTTGTTTGTGTATCAGCTGCTCAACCAGACCCTTCCCAACATGCAGCCTGCGCTCGACAAGGCCTTTTCTGCACTCTACTCGCCCGACTTTGTGGCCAAGCTCGACGCGTCGGGCTACTTTAAGCTCGACGAGAGGATCGGCGACTCGGTGCGCGAGCAGGTGGCCAAGGCATTTACGTACAACTTCTTTACGTGCCCTACTCAGCGCATCATGGATCTGGCACAGCAGAAGGGCCAATTCCCCAAGGTCTACCTGTACGAGACCCAGTCGGGCTACCCGGACACTGTTGGCCACCCCGACAAGTGTGCACCCGAGGGCACGGGGCTGGAGGTATGCCACAGTGACGACATCAAGAGCGTTTGGGGCAGCTTGAACTACGAGGGCATCCAGGTCAGCCAGCAGTATCTCGACTTTGTCGCGTACAATGCGGACGCCTTCAGTGCATTCGTTAGGCATGCTTCGCCCAACCCTAAGCAGGAGTATCTGCGTGCGAGGGGGAGGGGCTATACGTATACGCAGAAGGTACAGAACTACAACAAGTGGCAGGCCTTCTACGAGCCCCTGCTCGAGAGCGGAAAGTTCAACACCCAGTACCTCTCTGCTCCCAACGGCATCAGGAACGGTGCAATTCCGCATAGGGACGTCTGCGACTTCTTCTACCAGAATGGGAAGCTCACCTACCAGACCCTCAACAACGCTGCCTAGAATCTTGCCTCCTCCGAAGTAAATCTGGGCGCTTCGTCATCAACAAGCTCATCGTAGCCTCTCTTTCTCCCTCACTCCCTCGTCTTTCGTTTTCACTGAGCCCCCCTTTGGACGCTTCTAGGAACTGTATGTCATCCAGCAATTTCAGCGAGCCTTCTTCCTTTTACTGTTTCAATCAACTCTTCATCCCACGCTTCACAGAGCATCACCATGCGTGGACTGTTGGGCATGGCAATCGGCTTCAAACAGCAATGCGGTTGAGACAATGTTCGGGGGAACGAGAAAGTGGGGCTCAAGTCCGCATTGGGACGAGCGGGGATCTTGGGAGAGAACGAATCTAGGACGAGGTGGGAGGGGTGGCAGGCGATTTGGCGGCATGCTTGTGGGCGGGCTTCTTGTTCGACTTGTGCGAGCTGGCGTGTGCGGCGTGCTCGGCGTGCGCAGAGTGCTTGGCGTGCTCAGTTGCCGACTTCTTGCCCTCCGCCTTCTTGTCCTCCTTCTTGGCCTCCTTCTTCTTGTCTTCCGTCTTCTTGCTCTCAGACTTCTTGGTGGCGGTCTTCTTGCCCTCGGTCTTCTTCGACGCGGAGTGCTTGGTCTCGGTCTTCTTGGTGTCGGGCTCGGTGGTCTCCTCTACCTCGCGCTTGGTCGTTTGCTGCTGGTGCGGGTGTGCGGCGTGCTGGGGCTTGTGCTCGCCGGAAACCTTCTGGCCGTTCTTGCCCTTGTTGACCGCCTCGCCCTTGTTGCCGGGGTGTGCAGCGTGCTCCGACTTGTGCTCGCTCGACTTCTTCGCTCCGTTCTTGCCCTTGTTGACCGCCTCGCCTTTGTTGCCGGGGTGAGCGGCGTGCTCCGACTTGTGCTCGGCCGAAGTCTTTGCGCCGTTCTTGCCCTTGTTCACAGCCTCGCCCTTCTTGGCGGGGTGTGCGGCGTGGTCGGATTTGGCGCCCTTGGACTTCTTGGTGGTGTCGCGCTTGGCGGGCTGGAGCTGGACGAACTGGAGCAGCTTGTGAGCAGCGTCATCGTCGCCGTAGAGACGGCGCACCTGGCGGTCGCTCGACTGCGCGGCGACCTCGCGGTGGAGCTTGGCGAGACGCGGCAGCTCGTCGGCAAACTCGGCGGCAAAGGTGGGGGATGCAGGATCGGCGTGCTCGAGCTTGTTGATGAGCTCAAGCAGCTGCGGAAGCTTGCCCTTGTCGGCGCCGGTGGCGACGGACGAGTCGGCAGAGACCACAGCGGCCGAGAGCAGAACAGCACCAAGAAGCGAGAGGAACTTCATTGCGAGCAGTGATCAAGTGTTGCGACTGATGTAGGGAAAGGGTCGAGATGGTGCGTAGAGGGGTGTGTATGCGTACACTAGCGAGGGAGGAGGCAGAGTATATATGCAACACGCCTGGAAGCGTAGGGGTAGGGCTGTTTGTGCCATGTGTGGATGCTTGGCTGGCAAGAGGGACCAGAGCCAAGGCGAGCTCGACCCTGAGCACAGCAAGGGGGTCGGCTAAAGGGGTAGAGGGCAGGAGGGCAGAGGAGGGCAGGGAAGTGGTGGCTGGCAGGGGCGAGCATGTCAACAAGTGGGCCGACGGTTCGCTTAGACGGGCATGCGGGGCGTCGCATTGGCCTGCCCTCTTTGGCTGTCCAGCGCGAAATGGCGACAGCTGAATGCTAGGCCGATCTGCATGACGACGATCTCCGCTGACGTGCTGTTTTGACCAACTCCGCCGCGCGTGCCCAACCGTGCTCGTTCGCTTGCCTCTCCGGGCGAGCTCTCGATCATCTGGCTCCAAAACAGCTCGCCTCCTCTAAGCTCAGCTGCCCGACACTCGTGCTCTCACAACGGCGAGGACAGGATTGAAATAAAAGCATGGAGCTGGACACGGCTCATCGCCGACGGTCCCGGCGTTGCTGCAATGCAGGCGGGTCGAGGTGGCGACAACAGTGCGAGCTGATGTCGAAACGTTCTTTCAGGAAACGTCGGAGTCGCGCAGTCGGCCCGAAATGGCAACTGCCTGCTGCCCGTTGCCCGCTGCCCGCTGCCGTGCCCTGATACTTTGGCCGGGAGCATACAGTAGATGGCAACGACGGGCGGAGGCTGAAATGCCAGCTCCAACGCCGTGTTGGTCTCGGCTGGCTCTCGCGCCACTGCAATTTGAGTCGACGCGTCTCCTCATAAAAAAGGGGAGGCACCTTTTCCCCACTTGGCGCTTGGATGCAGCTCACATTCCTCAGCGACACGACGGTCGCCAAGTCGCGTCGGTGTCCCGTGAGCTTGATTGCCAAGCGTCTTCGTTGGCACGGGCGGCCTTGAGGAAAGCCGCGAAACGGGAGTGGCTGTCAAGGCGAGCGGGACAGGGTCAACGACGACCAGCAGCATTCATGCACACCGGGGTCATGCATGCGTGCAGCCTGACCGAGGCTGGGATTCGGATGAAGGAGGCAAGCAACTTTCCGCCCCGCGTCATTTTTCCGGCTTTCACACTGTGAGCTTGATGTAACTAACATGATGGAACGGAGAATATCGATCCCCGGAGCAGCTCGCCGCTCCGCACTGGCCACGAGACAAAGGGCAGAGCCAGCCACGCACCCTTCCGCTAGGCACGTCCTCCACTCGAATTTGGCACAGCCAGGCCAGTCACTTTCTGCACGCCTCGCAGCACTCGCGCCCTGTCTGAGTGAGTCGCTGCAGTTGCACACGCCGTGGGGGTGCGCCCAGCTGCTGCCTTCCTTTCTTCTCGTCGATCCGTCACAAAACCAACACCCCATCCTCCCTTTGTAAAAGCCCTCTAGCTGCTCACTGGCTACAATCACGGTCTCTTCGACTATTGCAACAGCCGCAACGCTCGGCGCATCCTCCTCCACCGCTCGGCCCAACCCGTCATCGAACGCTCCCACCGCACTCCAGCCTCGACCACTCCACACTGCCCACCATGGCAGACTCAGGCAAGGATGCCAAGTTCTTCCAGAGAAGCAAGGTCGACGAGCTTCGCATCGAACTCAATGCCGACAAGAAGGACAAGGGCTGGGTGCGCAAAAAGACCGTGCTGAAAAAGATCATCGCAAATGCCACCATGGGCAACGACATGTCGGCGCTCTTCCCCGACGTCGTCCAGTGCATCAACATCCAGGTGCTCGAGATCAAAAAGATGGTCTACCTCTACCTCATCAACTACGCCCGCTCCAAGCCCGACCAGGTGCCCAACGCCATCCCAGGCTTCCTCTCGGACTGCAACGACCGCAACCCGCTCATCCGCGCGCTCGCCATCCGCACCATGTCCTACATCCACGTCCCCACCGTTCTCGCCGCACTCATCGACCCCTTGCGCCACTCGCTCAAGGATGCGGATCCGTACGTTCGTAAGACCGCCGCCATCTGCGTCGCCAAGCTCTACATGCACGACAAGCGCCTCATCGAAAAGCACTCGTTCATCGGCATGCTCCGCGACCTCCTCGCCGATGCCAACCCCACTGTCGTCGCCAATGCCGTCGCCGCCCTCGTCGAAATTTCCGAGCGCTCCGACAACATCCAGCTCAAGCTCAACCTCACCATCGCCTCCAAACTCGTCGCCGCCCTTGCCGAATGCTCCGAGTGGGGCCAGACCTACATCCTTGAGGCGCTCATGTTCTTCGTGCCCGCCGACTTCGCCGATGCAGAGATCCTTGCAGAGCGCATCGCGGTGCGTCTCCAACACGCCAATTCCGCCGTCGTGCTCACAGCCACCAAGGTCATCCTCTACCTCATGAACTATATCGCCAGTGCCGAATTCAAGGAATCTCTCTGCCGCAAGCTCTCCCCACCGCTCGTCACGCTGCTCTCCTCCGGCCCCGAGGTGCAGTACGTCGCACTCCGCAACATCCTACTCGTCATCCAGCGCCGCCCGCTCGTGCTGCAGAACGAGGTCAAGGTGTTCTTCTGCAAGTACAACGATCCCATCTACGTCAAGATGGCCAAGCTCGAGATCATCTATCGCCTGGCCAACGAGCGCAACGTCGAGCAGGTGCTCGCCGAGCTGCGCGAATATGCGTCCGAGGTGGACGTCGACTTTGCGCGCAAGGCCGTACGCAGCATCGGGCGGCTGGCCATCAAGATCGAGTCGTCCGCCGACCGGTGCATCCATGCGCTGCTGGCGCTCATCCAGACCAAGGTCAACTACGTGGTGCAGGAGGCGATCGTGGTGATCAAGGACATCTTCCGCAAGTATCCCAACCGCTACGAGAGCGTCATCTCGACGCTGTGCGAGAACCTGGACAACCTCGACGAGAGCGAGGCCAAGGCGGCCATGATCTGGATCATCGGTCAGTATGCGGATCGCATCGAGAACAGCGACGAGCTGCTCGAGGACTTTTTGTACACCTTCCTCGAAGAGCCTGTCGAGGTGCAGTTGGCGCTGCTTACTGCGACGGTCAAGCTCTTCCTTAAGCGGCCGAGTGCGGGCGGCGAGTTGGTGCCCAAGGTGCTCAAGTGGGCGACCGAGGAGGTGGAGAATCCGGACCTGCGCGATCGCGGCTTCATGTACTGGCGCTTGCTCTCGACGGATCCCGAGGCTGCGAGGCAGGTGGTGTTGGGTGGCAAGCCGCCCATTTCGACCGAGACGGATAGGATGGATAGGCAGCTGCTCGACCAGCTGCTGCTGCACGGCGCGAGTCTCGCCAGCATCTTCCATCGCCAGCCGCAGACGTTCATTCGTAACGCCAAGGCGCGCTACGTACCCGACTCGCCTGCGCTCGACGAGTCGGCGAGGCGCTATGCGTCGGCGCATCTGTATTCCAAACCCGTCGCGCGCGCACCGGTGCTCAACACCGCTGCGCCGAGTCAAGCCGCAGCTGCCGATGCAAAGACACTGGCGGCACCGGATTCGAAGCGACTCATTGAGGAAGACGAGGATGCAGATGCAGAGGCGGAGGCAGACGCGCATGGGCCGTTGAATGGCGCGCTGGGTGCCGATGAAGATGCGGACCCATACGCCATGTTGCCAGACGACCTTGGTGCGTCGTCCACGTACCAGGCGGACCGTCCTATGCCCAACCCCTCGTCGCTACATGGGTAAAGTGCAGCCGGACAATACACAGTCATACCTCCATGCGCGCGCGTACATGCATGTGGTCTATTAAGTCAAAGTTCGGCGTAAGCATGCGCTAGAATTGTGGGCGCGGGGCTATGCAAGTGTGGTCTACTCGTTGGTATGGGTGGTTGGGAGAAGTGGACGTTGAGAGCGGATTGAGGACCACATACTCCAAGCACCCTGTCTATCTTCGTCGTCTGCCTCGTCGATGGATGTGCGCAGCGGTGCATAGGCCGAAGAACGCCAACGGGCGGAACCAGCGCTGAGCGAGTCGGTGATAAACGGTAGCGTATCGCAGTGGCCGGGGCTGATTTCGGCGGGAAGGTCGTAGAGCGTGGGATAGTCGATGGCTAGATCGGCGCCTTTGGACCAAAAGTCCTTGCAGTTGGCCAGCATGCCGTGGTCGAAGGGGTTGAGTGCGGCATTGGCACGTTTGAGACCCTCGCCTGCCTTTCCGCGCGTGTACAGGTCCAACCCTACGACCGACAACAACCATCCACCCGCTCCGGCTGCAACGCGACGCACCACCCCAAGCTTTCCGTGACTGTGACTATGCCCCGCCGCGCTGGCTTGTGGAAGCTCTTCATCTGCTTCGGTTGGTTTTTGCTGCGCTTGGATGCCTTGCAGCGCAGTGGCGGCAGCGTTGCTGGTGCCAGGTTGGGAGCGCGAATGCATGGCGATAAAGTTGGTCTGCCCCGCGTAGCTTTGCCCGCCCTTTCCGCCCATGAAGCCAAAGCGGCCAAGGTTGGATACTTCGAGCGTGGTCATCTGGCGCATCACCTGCCACGACTGTGCGCCCAACAGAATCACCGTCCAGCTGAGCTGCAATGCTGCCCATACCGCCACTCCCAGCAGGAACGGATCGTACGTCGTCGCAGTGCACAGGGCAGCAAACGGCAAATGACACGTCTCGATGCTCGCATCGGGTAGCGGATCGTACGGCGGCGCATTGATCGCATAGTACACCGCAGTGAGGTAGATAAACTGGAGGATGCCGAGCACGAGTGCACCGACAAACAGCAGGAACTGACGGTGGTTCTCGATACCAATGCAGTTGGCTACCCAGGGACAGTGGTGATCGTGGCGCGCTACACAGCGTCCGCACAGCTTACAGTGCTTGGAGCGCATCGGCTTGCGCGCCATACACGCCACGCAGAACGTCTGCCCATTCAGCCTGCCCTGCTGCGCGAGCTGCGTCACCGTCTCGCGGCGGTGCAGCGCCGAGGGCGCCAGCGGCGCATACCCCGGCGAAATCGTCGCGGCCCGAAACAGGTTCCACGCACACACGAGCAGCGACAGCGCAAACAGCAGATTCGTCGACGCATACCCCGGCGTATTCGATGCCAGCTTCCGCACCCACTCCCAGCCCACCCACGCGATCGACCCGGACACGATGGCGAGAAAGTAGTTGCTGCGCTGCAGAAAGTCGTGTTCCTGCGGATCGAGGATGACGCGCGTCACCACGTGGTGCATGCCAAAGAATTCGGCAGCTGCAAACGGCGCCGCCGTATACCAGGGCAGCGCTGCAAACGTAGCAAAGATCAAGCCGAGCGCAATGAAGGGTACGGCCATGACGGCGAGACGCGCGGTACGGTCGGTGCTTGCGCCGAATGTGCGCTGCTTGCGCCTGCCGTCTTCCTCGAATCCGATGTCGGCGAGCGCTTTGCGATAGGCGCCGATGGACTTGAGCTCGACCGCCATGTCGCGTGGCGTCTTGCCCGAGTCCTCCTTTGCAAGCAGATCCGACTTGGCGTCGGCCAGAAGGCGGATGCAGAGGCGATTACCCTTGACGACGGCCCAGTGCATGGCGGTCAAGCCGGCGCTGTCGCGCTTGAGGACGTCGGAGCCGTGCTTAAGTAGGATGTCGACCGAGATGGCGTCGCCCTGGTAGGCGGCCCACATGAGCGCAGTGTGGCCCTGCGAGTCGGTGGCATCGAGCCCCTCGGGTGAGCTGAGCGAAGACTGCTGGAGCATGAGGACGAGCGGCATGACGGCGCTCGAGTGGACGGTGAGGTGGAGCGAGTTGAAGCCCTGCGAGTCCGTGATGGTTGGGTCGGCGCCTCGCGAGCACAGCAACTCTAGCACATAGACGTGGCCGTTGCGCGCGGCCCACTGGAGCGGGCTTGCGACGAGATCGCCTCCGAGCGCATCGACCTCGGCGCCATGGTCGAGGAGGTAGCGGCAGGTGGCGAGCTGTGCGTTGATGGCCGCCCAGTGGAGCGGAGTGATGTTGTCGTCGTCGCGGTCATGCACGGTTGCACGGCCCGAGTCGACGAGGCGCATGATGGCCGGAAGATCGCCACGCTGTGCGGCGGTATGGATGGTGAGCGGCATCTGGTCCTGTCCGGGCGTGTGGGCGCGACTCGCAAGGCCACTGGGTGGGCGTGCGGGCGCGTCGAGCTTGGATGCGGCATGCTGCTGCTGGCGGCTGGACGAGCTCGAAGCGGTTGGCGGGGAGAAGAGCGGATCTGACGGTGCGTCTGTGGTGCCGGAGGAGGTCGTAGCTTGCGTGGCGGATGCGCCCATCGGGGTGCCGGGTGCTGCCATGCTGGCGAAGTCGATGCTGCGGCCGCCCAGCGGCTGGTGTGGTGATGCGGACGAGATGCCGTTGTGTATCGGAGAAGGTGTGGAACGTGTATCCGAAGGAGGAGTTGCTGGCGCCTATCAGGATGTCATGTTCGAGTCCGAGGAGAATGAGCCGTATACAAGACGGGAAGGATAGGACCAGACGAGATGGAGGAGAGGTGGTGAAGTTGAAAGCCGAGGCTGCTCCACATCAACACCTCTCTCCCTCGCACACACGCTCCTCCGTCGAAAAACGCAGGCTCTGGCCAACGCTTTCTTCGCGGCCAACCACAGCCGCCGCCCTGCCGGCCTGCATGCACAGCCGATCTGCCAAAAACGCGCTTCGCTGCGTGGGCGACTCTCGGGCTGTGCTTTCCGAAATTTGGGCGACCGCTGAAGCCGATCTCCGATGCGTCGTCTGGATCGGGTTTGTGCCTCGGCGATCTGCAACGTGAGTCAAAAAAAAAGGCTCTCTTTTCTCCACTTTCCGGCTCTTCCGGCTCAGCATTCTTTTTTGGGCGCGTAACGCTCGCTCTCTCACTCGTTAGCTGCAGAGCGTGCGTCTCGCCGGACAGCTTAGCCCTTCCGGGACAAGCCGCGATGAAGTGGAGTCAGTCGTTCAATCACCTCTCTTCCGACCGACCACCACCCTAAGCCCCCGAACGGCAACTCTTCATAGCCCTACCGTCAAGCTTCATCGTCGCCAGCATGCTGCGCTCAGCTTCATCAGCCGTCCGGGCGGTGTCGCAGTCGAGCCTTCGTCAAGGCGCTCTCGCTGCAGGCGCCTCGCGAGCACGACTCGTTTCGTCCTCGACACCACGGCTGCGCAACGACGACTCGGCCAAGGGAAGCAAGGATGTGAATGCATCGCCGACGGCAGCCACCTCTGCCAGTCGTGCCTCGCTCGCCCCGAGTTCATCACCGGCGGCAACCACGTCCAAGCCCGTGCAGATCTCGTACAGCCCGCCCAACAAGGGCACCACCGGCGGCGGATCCATCACCCTCAACCTTCCGCCGCAGCTCGTCCAGGCCATGTCGCGCAAGAACAACGTCGCGCCCACAAAGACCTCGTCCGCACGCGCCAAGGCGCAAGCCTCCAAGGCGCTGCGTCAGACCATCGCCGAGCCCACCACGGGCCAGGTGTACGCGTGGGCAACCGCCTACTCGTACTCGTTTGCCGAGCTCATTCGTTCCGGCAGGCTGCCTCCCAACTACCAGATCTTTGAGGACAACGAGGTGATCCACATCCCGCAGTGGCCGGTCGCATCGGCGTCTCCAGCAAGCTCGGCAGCACCAGCGGCGTCAACGTCCACTTCGGCAGCATTGGGCAGGGGCGAGGTGTTCATCTTCCGCTCCGGATCGTTTGTCACGTGGGGGCTGGACGAGGAGCAGAGCCAGCGCTTCCTGCGCAGCGTCATCCAGGGCCGCGATCTGCAGTACCAGGTGGAGCTCGGCAGGTATTCGCAGATCGGCGACGAGGCCATGGACTATCTCTACGCCTCGTCGCAGCCCACGCGCGTCCAGGGCGATATCATCGTCATCGGTCAGCCGCCCAAGACGTTCGATGCCGAAGCTGACCCTACGGACACTGCTGAGGCGCTTGACTTTGCCGAACCCGCGGAAGCGCCGGTGTCGTCGCCGACCGCTTCGACCTCGCCGTATACGTCGTTTGGAACCGAGTGGACGCCCACGCTCGCGCGGCTGGCGTTCTCGCAGGGCCTGGCACGCTCCGCTAGGCTGTCGGTGCAGGAATCGGCGCTGTCCAACTTTCTCTCGACCGTCTCGACCATCCCTGCGCAGCTCGAGCAGGCGGGAAGTGTGCCTCTCTCGCGCGCGTCTACCATCCAACACACAGGCACACTGCTGCGTCTGCGCCAAACCGCCAATCTCGACCGAGACAACTTTTACGACGAACCCGAAGTGTACTGGGAGAACGGAAAGATGGAGGATCACTACCGCTCCATCTGCCACAACCTCGACATCGGACAGCGCTTCGAGACGCTCAATGAAAAGCTCGACCACTGCGAGAACTTGCTCGCCGTCGTGAGGGCGCTGCTCACCGAGAAAACCACGCACAGGATGGAGCTCATCATCATCGGACTCATCGCGTTCGAGGCTGGGTTGGCTTTGTTGGGTCACGGATGGGTGCCAACGCCGAAAAATGTGCGCGCTTGGTGGTCGTCTGCAAAGGAGTACTTTAGCACCAGCAAGGACAGCATAGAGGAGAAGGTAGAGCCAGTGGAGGAGATCATTCACGCTCCTGTTCGGCTCGTATAGACAGCAGTAATTCACACACACCACTCTGCACGATTGTGCCTTTGGGACCAAACTTTTGCGCGCAGTGTGTGTCAGGGCAGGACGATGAGCGTGTGAGCGGGTGAGACGAGTGCGAGTCGGGGGTCTTGCTGTGGCTCGGCTTCCTGCACGCTCACCACAAATGCAAACGTGCCTGGCGACAAGAATGCCACGTTCCACTCGACGTCGACTTGCTCGCCTGGCTGGATCGGGTCCCCTCGTGGGGCGGTCCATGTTCCGTCGGCCAGCACCATGCTTGCGAGCAGCTGGACATCGGTGTGCGTCGCATCGTTGGGCGACGTGGGCACAAGTCGGATGATGGGCTGGATCGTGCGTGCGACTCGGTTCGTGATGGTCGCGCGCACCGTTACAAACGCCTCGGCCCGCACCGGTTTCGGCCCGAACGCGAGCGTGATGCCCACCACAGGCTTCTGAAGCGCCTCCCTATCCGCCGCGTCCATCTCCAGCCCACCAGTCACCATGCCGCGAAGAGGAACCTTGCCACCGCGCTCCGCAAGCGCTTCTGCCGTGCGCATCGTCTTCCACACGCCCCCAAGCCGCTGTAGCAGCGCAGCGCGGTACCAAAACGTCGCGCGCATCTCGGCTTCTTCGACAGCACTCAGCTGCAGCTTTGACACGATGAATTGTCGTGTCCCCGCACCTGCCCAGACCGAGGGTATCGCCGGCAATCCACCACTTCCCGCTGGCCCAGTTGCGGGCTGACCGGTGGCGTCGAGCTCGATGCGTGGATGCGGAAGCACGATGCGCGTCGTTGTGCCCGCACGCAACAAGCGGTAGAGTTGGAGTGGGATCAGTCCGCCCGTGTTGAGCGCAAAGCGCACCAGCACGTCTTCGCGAAACACGTTGCTCACCTCGATGCTCACCAGGCAGTACTCCTCGTCCGTCTCTGCCTCGCTGCCCTCGAGTCGCACCGGCGTGCTTGGTACTGGCGTCTCAGCATCGACGTCAAACGTCCGCAGATGCGGAGGAACGGCATCGGCTGAGGCGAGACACTCGCGTGTTAGTCGATCTGCCTCACCACTGCGCAGCGGGACAATCGTCAGGTCCCGACACACCACCACCGGATGCACGGTCAGTCGGAACGCCACCTCGAGCATGCGCACATGCACCTTGGTCGTCGCACCCTTGCTGCGGTCCAGGTGCGCGTACTCGAGCGAGATCACCGCGTACGTGCAGCCTGCTTTGGCCGTCACGCGCACGGGCAGCGTCGTGGACGCGCCAGCCTCGATGTGCACGGCGTCGCCACGCGTGTCAGAGGAATCGCGCGAGAGCGCGGGCTGGTGGACGAGGTCCCACTCCACCTCATGCACGTCGGCCGGCAGCAGCTCGCCGTCCGCCAGCGCCTGCTGCGCCGCCTCGCTGGCATCGTCGCGAAACGCCACACGCACATAGTTGACCGCCAGCGACGCGTGCACGTTCTCAAGCTCGAGCTGTATCAGCCGCGACTCGCCCTCGAACATGTCGAGGCCACCGAGCGGGCTCAGTGCGCCGCAGTACGCCGCGACCAACGGCTGTGCACCCACCACGGTGATCTCGATCCACTTGTTCGCCGAGGCTTTGCGGTTCGGATCGCCAGCAGCCGCCGCGGCCTTCTGCTTGATCACGGCCGAGCGCGCGTCGAGACCGCATTCCTTGAGGCGCGTCTTGCGGTCCTCCGCCTCGGCTGCACGTTTGCGCCGCTCGCGCACGTTGTCCTCGTCGTACACCGGCAGCAGGAACGTGTGTTCCTCGGTGCATCCCCCAGCGAGCGTCAGCGTGACGCCACGCACCGCCACCGTGCCCACCTCCTTGGCCGTGCCCGTCAGCCGCACCGTGTGGAACGACAGCGGCGGGATCGAGATCCTCTCGCTCTCTTCCGCCACAAACCCAGCGCCGTCCGCAACCAGCTTGACGCTGTCAATGTGCAGCTCGGTCGCAAACTCGTTTTGCAACGTCGCCATCACATGAATCGGCTCGTCCTGCACCGCAGTCGCCCTGGCCTTGGCCGACGTCCGTGCCGCCGCGAGATTCATGAACATCGGATTGTTCAGCCCCGCCACGCCCTCCTCTGCCTTGGGCGCTGGGTCGGACCAGATGTGTTTCGCTTCGCGCTCGTGCGGAAGCCTGTCAGCCGCGAGCGGGAGAAGCTCAAGGCTGCAGAGCGGCTCAACGGGACCCCAGTACTTGAGGCTAAGGTCCTGGGCGCCGGCCCAGCGTGCGGCCTGGACAGCACGCTGCATGCCGACGATGAGATCGCGCTGCTCGTCGGCATCCAGCAGCGCGTGGAAATCACGCAGCAGGATGGCGCCGAAGAACGCCATGCCCACGTAGTCGGTCAGCAGCTCGGCGGTGGCGATGGCCTCCTTAAGCAGTGCGATCTGCTGCTCCTTCCACCCGTACGGCGCTTCCTGCGCGAGCTCTTCGGGCGTCAACAGTGCCGCCTGCACAGACGGCCGCGAATTGCCATCGGCTTTCCACGATTCCGATCCGGCGAGCGCAGGCGAGGCGTAGGCGCTGCGCAGTCCTTCGGACGCGCGCGACAGGATGTGGAACGGCGGCACCCCGCGCAACGGATCGAGCTCCACATGGATGCCATACGTCTCGCACACCTGTACCGCAAGCACCAGCACTGCCTCGGGCCCGCGCCCAAGCGAGTCGAACGTCGTCTGCGCCACCATGTTGCCCAACAACTCGCTGGTGTCCTTGTCAAAGTGCGCGTGCTGCTGCAGCGGCAGAGACGCCGTTGCTGGCGGCTGCGCATTGACGCGCTTGGCCTTGACGAGCAGCGCCACAATGGTCGACTGGAGCTGCCGGAGCAGGTGTGCCTCGCGGCGCGAGAATCCGATGCACCCAAAGATGGCGGTGAGCGTGCTGAGCAGTGTGATCTGGTCGGTCGGTTTGAGTGCGATGATCGAGTGGGTGAGCGCGGACGATGCGGCGGCGGCGATGTCGTGTCTCGCAATGCCCGAGACCGCGGTGAGCGCAAGGTACATGGCATTGCTGGGCTTCTCCTCCGCCAGCGCCGGTGGTACACCGCCATAGACGAGCTGGTCGAAGCACTCTCCGTTCCATCCACCGGACGCCCAGACGGCAAGCAGGAAGCGCGCGTACTGCGTGCATGCACTGGCATGGATGAGCGGATGCGTATAGTCTCTCGGCGAGTCGTTCGTCACCGACCGCACGGGCTCGAGCAGCACACTCGGCGGCGCGAGGCACTTCGCGTAGATGACGAGCGCAATCGTGTACGCCTCGGCCACCTCGCCCCAGCTCTGCTTGGCGTAGGGGCGTGGGATGCCGTCCTTGTCTTTCTCCTTGTCCTTTTCCTTTTCCTTGGCATTGGCTGCCGACCAGGGCAGGTCGAAGCACGGCGCCTTCTCCAGCACCGCCCCGCCCATGCGCGACACCAGCACACGCGCGACCGAGAAGCCCTCGAGCGCGCTCGCGAACCACACGGCATCCTGCCCGCCCGCAAGCGCACGCTCCTTGCCCAGCGCAACCAGCGCACTCGAATACGCCTCTAGTGCGTCCCACAGATTGCCAGAAAGCAGGTGCAGGTCCGCACGCACCTTGGCGTACCGGCCCGACCCGGTCGGTCCCGTCGCCGCCGCACTCGTGACGCGCTTGGCGCTCTTCTTGTTCGCATTCGCCGCGAGGATCTTGCTCCGCGTCGACTCGGATGTGGGCGAGGCAGTCTTGGACCCTGGCGAGGCAAGGTCGAACGGATGCGATCCACCACCGATCGCGCTCGAGGGCCGCGAAGATGTCGGTGTTGAACTGCCTGTCCCTACATCGCCGGTTGTGCTGCCTGCCGCGCTGCTGCTACTACTGCTGAACGCGCCAAACAGGCTCGAAGCACGGCTGGCCGCTGCTCCCATTCCGGCCGCAAGCGAGGCGCCCGTCGCTGCTGTCCCCGTCTTTCCAAGCCACGATGCGGTGTTTGCAGAAGAGGTGGGAGCCGATGCAGTCCTCGACGCGATGCCGTCGAGTGTCTCTCGTGGCGTCTCGAGCGGCGTCCCTTCAAGCCCTGTGACGATGTGATCGAGTGCATCAAGAATATTGCCCACCAGCTCGGCAAGCAACGTTTTGAGGTAGAAGCGTACGTCCTTGCCATCCCTGCGCACAGCAGGAAAGATGATCAGTCCGCCGTCTCTGTGCGCTGAAAAGCCCGAGGCGTCTGGGGACGAAGGCAGTTTCGGCGTGGATACTCCGCCCGCCGCATCCTCTCCTCCCGCCGAGCCTGGTCTGGCCGCATCGGCCGCCGCAGGATTGAGTGGAGAGCCTATTCGCTGACTGCTGTTGATCTTTGCTGCGACGTCGTCCTTGATCGAGCTGAGGTCGACGGTCTCGGGCCGTTTGGCTCCCGAGTCGAATCCGAATACACGATGCACCAGCGCGCCCGGGTGGAGCTCCCTCAGCGCCGACGGACTCGCCTCGAGCTCGTGACGATTCAACGCGTTGTTCGAGTACGTCGCCAGGCCCAGTGCGCCGAGCACCTGTCTGTGCATGTTGAACGGCGCGAGAAAGGCGTGGTCCGGATCGTAGCTCGTCACGAATGATAGATGGATCTCTCCGGTCTGCAGAATCGGCGATGTCGATGCGGAAGTGGAGCTGCCTGAAGCCGCGTGGCGAGCTGCTTTCTGTCGAGCGGCGCACGACGAGGGAAGGTCGGCGAGGCGGATTGTCTCGAATGAACGCACAGCATCGCACCACTTGGCAAACTCGGCCTCGTCAATGTCGCCGACGGGCGCAAGCAGGATGCGCAGCTTGGCATGGTCGATGAAGCTGCGCCCGCCGATGGGAGACGGCGTCGGTGCTGCCTGAAACCCGCTCTGCGGCCGCGATGATGCTGCCGCCATATCGACGCCGAGCTGCCCCCCGCTCAGACAGGAGCGCTCGTCGTGAACGAGCTGCGATCGGGAGCACCAAATGCGACTCGATGCTGCGCGAGGTGAGGAAGCCGTTGAGCGCCCGGACGGCAGGTGTGAGAATGGCCCGACGCTTTCAGAGCAATGCCTTCCAAGGCTAGTGAGTTGGTCTTCGGAGCGTGTCAAGCAGGTTGATCGTTGGAAGGAGGCGTGTGTGTGCCAGGAAGGCTTGTGCACCCTGAACCGTGCGGCTCGATCGTGACCTAACAATCTCAACGATTTTTTCCGCTTCGTCCTGTGCCAAAGCTGCAGCTCGACCAAAAAAACCAGTTCCAAGGCCCATGACGATGCTGCTACTGCGATCTTTACTGGCAACGCCACCCCCGGTGAGGTGGTAGGCAGCTGACCGTGTCGGTGGAATACGCTTTGAAATGAGAGGCAGGCGACGCTGTTTCGATGATGCTAGGAGGTGTCCACGTTGGTCGGTTGGAGGCATCTAAGCTGCGACTGCCACGATTGCTGGCGACGCCACCCTCCGGTGGTGGTAGCAGGCAGGCGCTCGTTTTGAGCAACGAGGCGAGTTGCGACGTGGTTTCAGCGATTCAGGGATACCAACCGCTCATTGGCTCGACGCACTTTGGACCATTTTTTGAGTCGTGAGAGACAATATGTAAGAAGGTGAAAAGCGTGTGGTCTCGCTAGATAGTAGATAGGGACGGTGGGCTCCTGAAACCATGCCACCGCGTATGTCAAGTCACTCGACGATTGCAGATGAGCTTTCAAAGGACTCGAAGCGGAGGTGCTTTCCAGTGCGATCAGAGAGGGTGTCCACGTTGGTCGGTTGGAGGCATCGAACAACGCCTCAACTTCCACCGTTTCTGGAAACACCAACCATCCCAGCGGAGCAGGCACATCAATCACACCGGCGTCACCTCGTTCGGCATCGCATCCTGCTGGCGCACCGTAGCTGCCGTCGACGCACCTACGCACTTGGCTTGAAGTGTGTCTTTGGCTGGGCAGCGCGGTGTAGGTGTGTCACGCGCTGTGGGGATGCGCATGGCCGAGTGGCGCCTCAGAGACCACCATGCAAAGAAGCCTGCGGCAGCGAAAGGGGGGCGTGCACTGTCCGACGGCATGTCCCAACGGACTGGAGCCATCACGCCTGCTCAGGTTGCTGCACACAGCACGACGCACACACCGCCGAGCACAGAATTAATCACATCCATTGCGAGAGAACCATTCCGCTAGTTTCTCTTCACTTTCTCTGGCGCTTCTCGACCTTGACGGAGCTTCCTAGCCCCGTGCTGCCTGGCGACGAGACAGGCGGTGTCGGCGCCGGGGCGATCGGGATGTTGCCCGTCCTGATGCCCGCGACCGACACGTTCGTGTTTGTCCTGCTCCTGCCTGAGCCCTGTCCAGATCCCGCATTGCCGCTGCCCGTGCCGTTCTTGGCCGTGCCGTTGGCGCCGCCTGCCGGAGCGATGTTGGCGTTGCCGCTTCCGCCACCCGACGAACCGCGTCCTCGCGCATCGGCGCGCTGAGCACCGCTGGCGCGATTCCTCTTCTTGATCACATCTGTCTTGAGCGAGAGCGGTCGCACAACACCGTGCAGCTTGAGGAAGAGGCCGCAGGCATTGCACAATGGCTGGCCCTCGGGATCGCGTCGCCACAGCGGCGTCTTGGTCGTATGGCAGTTGGAGCACACCGTAGGAGGGTCGGCCGTCGCCATCGAGCTCGCCGACGGCAGGTCCTTGAGGTTGACACTCGGGCCTGGTCCGGCACCCGGACCACCGCGAGCAGCATCGCCTGGACCGCCAGGCATCGGTCCAGAACCGACCTTCTTGCCGCGCGAAGCCTCGCTCATCGCAGCCGCCTTCTGGATCGCCTGCATGCTTGGCGACGCGTTGGACCGCGACGCAGCTGAAGCACTTGACTCGGGAGCAAGCGCCAGCTCTCGTTTGGCGCTGCCCGACAGCGGCGAGCGATGATACTGAGCGTGGTGCTGTAGGCCGGGCGGCGTGGCTGCGTTTGACGGTGCGCCACTCGACGGGCTATACGTCCAATTCGACGACGCTTCGTCTCCCGAAGCTGTGAGGTTGCCGAGCGAGCTTGCCATGTTGTCGATAGGGCCCCCGAAGACTTGGTTCGGGTTGATGTGCGTAAACGACGGCTGTGGTCCGCCAAGACCGGCGTCCGAGTTGTAGAACATATTCATGATCGCTTCCAGGTCCGCCGGATTCTGCTGGCCAGCTGCTGCTGCGCCGTTCGGCAGAGTGATGGGCGAAGCACCCGACCCGCTGCCTAGTGCCGTTTGAGGCGAGGCGCTGGCGCCAGTCATGAGGTTCGTGGTCGGCGTGCCCGCCTGGGAAGCAAGTGTCTCGAGCAAGCTGTCAAAGTCGGTCGCAGTTTCGTGACTACGGTTCGTCGGGTGTCCGAGTGCCGGGTTGGCTCCGAGCGGCAATTGCTGGTGCGGAAGCGAGCCAGGTTGCGGCACAGCAAAGTCGAAGCTACCTGAAGGCACGCTCGATAGCGACAGCGACGAGGTCGGCGCACCGCGCGAGCCCAGCGAGGCGATGTTTCGAGACAGACCCGCCGCAATACGTTGGTCCATGGTGATGGGGATCTGCATGGGCGGGCGTGCGGGGGAAAGATCGTCGCGGAACGGCCTCTTGCGGTTGTTGGCAGCCTCGGCCGCAAGCTGATCCCTGCGAGGACCTCGCGACATGCTCCTCTCGCGCACCTTGTGGTCGAAACTCGTCTTTCGCACTAAGCGGGGCAAGAAACCGTACTCCGGGTGCTGGTTGGCGGCAATGCTGACAAAGTCGCCAATGCCTGGAATGCTGTCGAGCGTCGAAAAGGGGGCGCCGAAGCTGTTGGCAGCGCCGATCGAGGCCATGTCCATACTCGCCTTTCTGAGTTCAGCGGCTCGAGAGGATTCGGCTTGCGCGGCCGACCATGCGTCCAGATCGGCCCCGAAGAGGTCCGTGTTGGCCGCGCTGCGGAAGGCATTCTGCATCTGCACCTTGCGTGCGGCGCTCGAGGTTCTGCGTGCACTGCCGCCGGCGGAAGCACCTCCGTATCCGGGCATCTGGAAAGCGTTGGCACCGTTGGGACGGAGCAGGTCGGAAAAATCGTCCGTGTCGAGCGCGCTGTCGAACGCGCCGAAAGCGTCGGTGCCGTCGAACTGCGCCAGATCGGCAAAGTTGAAGCCGTCAAATGCGTTGGCGTTGGGCGCCGATCGGCTAAAGAGGGCGGCGCCGTCCATGTTTCCCTCGTCATCGATCGTATCCAGGCGCATGGGCGCACGCGAGCGCGAACGGCTCACCCCACGCCAATCGACATCCATTGCACTTACCGAGCGCGAGCGCGAGCGGCTCTTGCTCTTCATCCTCCAGTCGACAATGTCTACGGCGCCGGCGGGCGTGGCGGCACTTTCTGGCGTTCGGGGGCTGCGTCCTCGGCGACCACGTTCCTCCTCTTCTTGCTGGATGACCTCAGCAAAGCGGGTCTTTCCCTTCACAGCGTTGGCGCCTGTTCCTGATGCAGCACGCGAACGCTGCTCCGGGACATCGGATGCATCACTCTGAATCGCGGTGAATCCGCCGGCGAACGCGGCTGGATCACCAGGGAAGGAGCCGCTGCTACGGCGCGAGCCTCCTGCCGATTTGGACGAGAGAGTAGGCGAGTGACGTGCGCTCGATGCGTGGCTTCGGCTCGCGTTGGACTGCGCTTCGAGGGCTAGCTTGGCTTCCGCTGCTTCCTGCTCTTTCTTCTTGCGCAGCGTCATAGCCATCATCCTCCAGGTGAGGTTCTCCATGCGGGCGCCGTTGGGTAGCTGCGAGCGTTGCTTGGCGTACATCTTCCAGACCTGAGTGGCGAGCGGATCCTTCTTGGACATCTCGTCGGGATCAAGGTACTCGTCGTCGGCTGCATCCTCGGCACCTGCCGAGCCGCGTCGGCTCATGTTCAGGCTTCCTGGCAGCGCGTCGACACCGAGCTCGTCTGGAAAGCCGGCGGTGCTCTGCCTGGAGCGAGCATCTTGGGTTGAGCGACGACTCGCGGCCGCTGATGGAGCTGTCAAAGGGGCTGCGCCTGCTGCAGCGGCGGCGGCTGTTGCACCTCCAGCAGAAGCAAAGAAACCCGCAAAGTCGGCCGAGGCGACAGCTTCTGGGCTGAGGAGAGCGTCTGGACCGCCTCGATAGTTGTTGAACTGGGCGGCCTGCTGGTGCGATAAGGACAAAGGCTGAGCATGCTGAGAATGTTGCTGCAGGTGCTGCGGATGTTGCGGGTGCGACTGAGGCTGATGCTGGTAAAGGGAGGCGGGCTGGAAGTTGTTGGGGGGAAGCATGGCCGATTGGTTGGGAACGAACGAGTTCTGCGGGGTCGGTGCAAAGGAGAGACCCTGCTGGCCTGTCCATGATCCGGGACCGGTCATGGCAGCAGGGTTGGAGTGAACAGGCATGGCGTGGGGGACGCCGTTGGTGTGGGTGCGCTGGCTGCCGAAGGAAGTGCCGTAGTCTGGACCCGCCTGGCTAGCGCCGGAGAAGGAGCGTGCTGGGTGCGAAGCGAGGTCTGACGTCGCATCAAAAGGAGCATGCGCAGCTCGAGAGGGCGATGAGGAGCGCGATGGGCCCGCGCTGGGGGCGGCCGAGTGCGGGTTGGTTGCATATCCGCTTGCCCTGCGGCTGTGTGATTGGGCCATATATGAGCCGAACGGCATCTGAGCTGCTGCGGCGCCGAAGCTGCCCTGGTGGGGGAAAGACGGTCGCGAGGCAGCATCGGCGCCAGCTGACATGGGACCATAGCTGAAGGGCGAGCCCGGCCCCGCGAGTGCTGGCGAAGGCAGCGCCGAGCCGCTGGGAGTATGCGTGGCACTGGCTGCGTTGGGATCGTGGCTTGCCATTGCGTCCATCTGCTGACGGGTGAGATGCTGCTGCATGGCCTGGGAGAGCAGCGACATCTGGGGCATGGAAGGGCCCTGCGACATGGCTGCGCTGGAGTCCAAGAGACTGTCGATGGAGCCGGGTCCGGAGGTGGGCGGCAGGGCGTCAGCCCAAGGCGGGGTGGGTGGTTTGTTCTCGCCCGGGTCGTAGTAAGAGAGAGGACGACCGGTGCGCAGGTTGGCGAGGGATGCGCGGTGCTGGTAGTGCGCTAGTGTAGACTGTTGGTGTGGTGCAGTGGAGCGTGGCTTGTCCGTTTCGGTGGAAAGCGATGAAGCGGTGAAGCCAGATGGAGGTGCCAGCTTGTCGGCTGCGTCGACATGCACAGTGGAGGTGATTAGCAATGTATCTTGTAGCGGTTCGTCTGTGAGCGGGGTTGTAGTACCTGACTGAGGCGGCGTGCCCGGCAGGACGATGGAGGATCGTTGGGCGAGAGAGGAGGGATGTGGGTCGAAGCGATGCATGGCAGTCGTGCGGATGGAAAGAGTGAGGGGAGCGAGAGTACAAATCAGTATCGAGGCCGATGAGGATGCAAGAGCAGAGAGGTGTGGCAGACGCTTGGCCGAGGAGGAGGTGGGAGTGAAAGGGTCGCAACGAGGCAGCTAGACGTCGAACGATGCAGGCGTCCCGGCCATGGAATGCGACGAGGCAGAGATCGAACGATGACCGGATGGGCGGCACGCAACACGACGAAGAGGCGGTGTGCTTGTCGATAGTGCGATGCGTGTGTGATGCCGGAGCGCAATGGGTAGCGTATCGAGCCAATGCGGTGCTGGCAGCGGTTTCCAGGGGATGGCGAGGACTGCGAAGGAAGAAGGAGAGGAGGAGGAGGGGGAAGGAAGGGACAAGCGACGACGGGCCGACTTACCTTGGACAGACAGGGACGAGCGACGGTGCTGGGCAGCGTCGAAGCGAACTGAGGCGGATGCAGATGTGCAGGGTGGCGCGCAATACGTTGGCGGTGATAGGAGCGGTGAGATTTGTCGTCAGAGTCGAGTGCCGGCGGTGTTGATGTTGACGATGCGGCCGCGGGGTGACTCGGAAGGCAACGAACGAGGGTGGCGGGAGGTCGGATGAGAGCGCGGAGGGTGTGAAGGAGTGTGAGTGCGAGTGCGAGTGCGAGTGAAAGGGTGTTGAGAGAGAGAGAGAGCGAGAGAGCGGGAGAGAGAGAGGGTGGGGGAGCGACTTCGGGGCGGACAGGCGGGAGGTGTCCGTGACTGTCTGCGGCTGCTGCTGCTGCACGGGAGCAGTCCAATTTCCGGTACAGAGCGGCACGGCCCAGCACGGCAGAGCGACGGTCTGTGTTGCACTTTCCGAGGGTCCGAGTCCTGTGGCAGGCAAGGCAGGCAACGAGGATGAAATGCAGCGGACCGACCGTGCATCCAAGCAAGCTGCCTGCAGTCCATGGCCACGCCGCCTCGACCGAAGCCGTGTGCGTGCGCGCGGTGGGGAGAGTCTGTGAAATCCAAGTGCTGGCCGTGAAGCCTGAAATGAAAGACCGCGCAGAAGCAGCAACAACAGCAGCCTCGCCAAGCGGTTAATTCGGACCCACTCTCGCCCTCTCGCTCTCTGGCCTTCTCGCCGTAAATTCGGCCCAATTTGCGCTCAAATTGGACCCAAAGACTCCGCTCCGGCCATGGAGTCACGAATAAAGTGGCACACCTCTGTCGGCAAGCTTCCGAATTTGCAAAATCGTAAAATAAAAATAAAAAACCTGCCGGATGCCAACCCAGCTGCAGTTCTTCCACCTTGCGAGGTGAGGCATCGGATGCATACATCCTTTTCTCTCTTGGTCCCGCTCTCTGCTTCTGGCTTCTGATTGCTGCAGAAAAGCTTTCGTTGGATCATGGCGAGCCAGAGTGCAGGTTGTTACCGTTGCGAAATCCGCGGTAGGTGACGTCGACTCGGCCAATCCCAGTTCCTCGGTTGCGGGCTGACGCAGCCTGCGCTCTGCATGGGAGGCTGGATTGCAGTTGAAACCTGTACCTTCGCCACAATGGGAAGAAGGCGCAGCGGGCACGAGAGCGAGAAGAGCGAGAAGAGCGAGGGCGGCCTGAGCCATGGGGTCCAAGCGCACGGCCAAGGCATGGCGAGCAAGCCCCCATCGGCAGCTGCCGGGCGACTCGAGTGTCAGCCGTCTGAACCGCGTGTGCATGCATTGGCGAGCGAGCGAGCGAACAGCTGGGATGGAAAAGGGCGCGAAATCGAACCCGACCCTAAATTCCATTCCCTGGGAGCCAAGAAGCGATGACAGACCGACAGCCGCCAACCAGATCGGTGGGCCTCCGACTTGCCTGTGTCAAATGCGCAAGACCGCAAGGGCCTTGCTACCCATTCCGTTCGGGAGATCCGCGTTCAAACACGAGATTTCCCAGCCCAGGCATCCATGCTCCAGCGCGGGCCGACGCGAGCATCAATGGCTTGCCGGCGATGGTCGGGTCAATTTGATCGGTAGATGCCGCAAAACCCGACGGGCTGGCATGGAAGCCGACGCGCCACCACGCAGGCACGCCGTCGCGCATTGGCACCGTGCTAAGCCATCCAACGGCGCTGCAGTTGACCCGGACCCATGCGCTTTGGCTTGATCTCGGCAAGGCCCGATACTGGCGCCATGCAAGGAGCACTCGCCACGAGCTCACGTCGCTACGACAAACGACGGCGGTTCGGCGGATGCGCCGACTACGCTCGTTCGCGTGGAAACAAGAGTCCATCCTTCTCCGTCCACTGCTGTCCACTGTTGTCCGGTGCTGTCCGGTGCTGGTGTCAGACATGACGACCCCATTGCCCTACTTCAAAGCACGAACGGCGGCTCCTCGGTCTTGGCAACATCATCGAACCGCAAACAACTGGTGTCCAGGCTCGCCAGGGGCTCCAGCACCATCCCGTCAACCACCGATCTTCCCCGACATACAAGCACCGCAACCATGCACACGCGCAACGAACTGCACCGCGTTATCCGAGTCATCTCCACCACCACCGCGCTGACCACGCAGGGCTCGTTGATGCGCCACCGACATCAATCGCATGATCTCGCGTGTGCTGGCTTTGCTGCAGCTCGAGAAATCGTCCGACCATCGGTCCGTCCGAAACCAACAGATGAACCTCGGCCCAACCAAAAGCGTGGCTTTTTGGTGGATGCAGCATCTCGCCGATCCATCACCGACAATTTGCTCGCGTCTGATTGGCTCGATAAACCCCAAGCATATCTCGCTACGCACAGAGATAAGAAATTCCCCTTCATCCCGACCTCTTCTTCCTCTCCCACACACCGGGAAATTTCCCCCCATCGGTCAATTCCGAACAAGCTCAACAACCCCCCCCCACCCCGGCCGCAGATCTACATCATCCCGCATCGCCTTTTCACCTCCTCCATCGGCATCCCATCGGCATATCCCCGATATCAAAAGCTTTAGCTGAGGCGTGTGACAAATGGACAACTGTTCTATTCTATATGACTATGCGCAAAAATAAAGAAACCGAGTGCAGGTGGTCGGCGACGGTTCTACTCGTCGTCGGTGTCTGGTTCTCGCTCACCGCCGTAGGTGAGCCAGCGGCTGAGACGCAGACGCCTCCTCTCCTCCTGCGCCTTCTTCTCGTTGCGCGTGAGCTTCTTCTTGCCCTTCTTGGCCTTGAACTTGGACATATCCTGCTCGCCCTCGTCGCCCGAGCCTGCCGGCGTAGGAGCCACGGACGAAACGGGCGTACCGGCCTTGGACGTCAGTCGCGACGCCGCCGTGCTTCCAGGCAGCGGCGTACCGGGCACCGAGGCGCCAGGAGTCGACGCATTCTCCATCTCGTCCAGGAAGGCTCCCTCGGCAAGCGCAGTCTTGGTGCGCGACATGATGCGGCCGTTGTCCACGTTCCAGATCTCGGGGCAGAGGGCACCGACAAACTCCATGTTGTGCGAGATGATCACCACGGCACCCGCCCAGTCGCGGATGGCGGTCGCCAGTCCACCGAGCGCATCGCGGTCGAGGTAGTTGGTCGGCTCGTCGAGCACAAGCACCTGCGGATTGTTCCACATGGCGGCGGCCAGCACCACCTTGACCTTCTGTCCGCCCGAGTAGCCGCCGACGGCATGGTGCTGCGCAATCTCGCCCTGCAGACCCACCGCCTCGAGATGCTGGCGGATGAGCTTGACGCTGATCTCGCGCGAACCGGCACCCTCGCGCGACGCCTCAAAGTCGTCAAACTGCTGCACGAGCTTGCTGAAGCCCAACTCGAGCAGGCGCTCGCGCGGGATCCACGAGTTGTTCCTGTGCTCGTAGCCGACCCACTTGATCTCGTACTGGTACGACTTCTTGAGCTTCTGACGACCCACGATGTACTCGACCTTGCGCGACTCGCCCGTGGTCGACTTGATCGGCGTCTCCATCTGCGCCTTCTCCTCGTCGGTCATCTTTCGCGACGCCTTTTCGGTCATCTCGCGGTCGTGGCCGTCCTGGTAACGCCATGCGATGTACTCCACCGCCGACTTCTCCAGATGCTGCTCCAGATGGTGGAAGGCGTGCTGGGCCATCATGGCGATACGCAGGTTCGGGTGCTTCTCCACCTTGCCCTGCTGCGGCACCGTCTCGCCGGTGAGCACCTTGATCAGCGTACTCTTACCGGCACCGTTGGGGCCGAGCACACCCACGCGACTCGACAGGCTGATGGCACACGACGTGTCGTGCAGCGAAGGCTTGGTCATGCCCGGGTAGGTGAAGGTGCAGTTGGACATCTTGAGGATGGTGCGCGTGTTGGAGCGCACGCCCATGAGCGAGCCGGGGGGCGGGAAGGAGAACTTGACGGTGGTGGCGGCGAGCGAGTAGTACGCCTTGGCCTCGGGCTTGGTGGCCACAAAGTCGGAGAGGTTGCCCTTGTAGTAGCGCAGCTTCTTCTTCTCGTAGTGGATGATGTCGGTGCAGATGTTGTCGAGGAAGCCCGAGTCGTGCGACACGGTGACCACGGTGATCTGCTTGTTGGTCACGAGGAAGTTCTCGAGCCATGCGATCGACTGCACGTCCAGATGGTTGGTCGGCTCGTCGAGCAGGTAGACGACGGCATCGGAAAGCATGGCACGCGCCAGCTCGAGCTTCATCTTCCAACCACCGGAGAGCGAGGAGACGGGGTTCTTCTGCTTCTCGTCGTCGAAGCCGACCTCGCGCAGCTTCTCGGCCACCTGCTCGCGCGTCTTGCCCACGAGCTTCTTGTCGTTGGCGATAAAGTCGATGATGGGCGTCGAGCCGTCCTCGCCCTGCAGGCTGTGCTCCACCATGAGGGTGCGCACCTCGTCCTGGGACGGGTAGCCCTCGACCTTGCCGTCGCGCATGGCCTTGAGCAGCGTAGATTTGCCGCTTCCGTTGGCGGCGACGATGCCGTAGCGGTGGCCGCGGTAGAGCTTGAGGGTGGTGTGGTTGAGGAGCAGCAGACCACCGTAGGCGAGCGAGAACTCGGTGCGGCAGAGGCACTCGCCCGCCTCGTCGTCGTCCTCCTCTTCGGAGTTGCCGAAGCGCGCCTTGTCGAGCTCGATGTAGGTCTTGCGCAGGTCGGCAGTGGCGGTCTTGGCGGCGTCGTCGTCCCTGCAGACGCGACGCAGGTAGGGCAGCACGTACACCTCCTCCCAAGCGCTGGTGTGAAGGATGCGCTTGTTGGCGAGGCGAGCGATGGACTTGGAGAGGTAGTTGAGACCGGTCATGGCGAAGGCATCGCTCTTGAGGTTGGCGTGCTCCTCGGGGACGTAAGCCTGAACAGCGGCGAGGATGGCGTCGAGGGCGGCTGCGCACTGCTGAGCAAAGACCTTCTTGGGGTCCTCGGTGGCAGCGCTAGCGTCGACGGCGGCGGTGGCGGCAGTAAGGGTGTCGAGGGCGCTCTTGGCGTGCTCGCGGACCTCGGGGAAGCTGGCGCCCTTCTCGATTCGCTCGACACCGGGAGTGAGTTCGGGGAGGAATTTGGCGGCCTCGTGCGGGTCGCGCACGAGCTTGCAGAGGTTGTCGACGACGACGACGGCCTGGCGCTGTACGTTCTGGCTACGCTCGTTGAGCGCACGGGCGAGCAGAGGCACCATGACGGCGAGCGCGGGGCCGGTGACTTCGGCGACAAAGGTGGTGCCCGAGAGCTTCTTGATGCACTCGGGCACGGCGTCGGGCTGGGCCATGCAGCCGACGAGGTCGGGGATGAAGGGACGGATGTCCTTGTTGTCGAGGCACGCCTCGCAGACCTTGATGGCGGTCTTGCGGGCCTGCTTGGAGATCTCTGCCTTGGTCTCGTGCATGGCCCTGGTGAGGTAGGGGATGAGTTCGACGAGCTCGTCTCCGATCTGCTCGCTGGCGGTGGCGCTGAGACGGCCGATGAGCTTGAGGGCGCCGACCTTGGCCTGCCACTTTGCGCTGCCGGAGCCGAGGACCTCGTAGAGGACGGTGAGGAACTCGGGTGCGGCCTCGGGGGGCACGAGGGCGAGGAGCGAGCTGGCGGCGGTCTCTGCAGCCTGGCGGACGACGTCACCCTTGTCTGCGTAGAGCTCGAGGATGGCGGGGAGGGTGTCGAGGAGCCATGGCTCTGCGCCGAGCGGGCTGGGAGCGTTCTTGCCGGCGACCTTGACAAAGATGGCGTCGAGGCCGATGGCGGCGGCCTCGCGCTCGTAGCCGCTCTTCTTGTTCTTGGAAGCCTTGACGAGGCTGTCGAGGACGCCTTCGGACTGAAGCACGCGGAGGCTGGTGCTGTTGACGTATTCGGCGAGCTGCTCGGCAGCGACGTAGCACTCCTCGGCGGAGGGGGCCTTGTAGAGGCCTTCAAGGGCCTGAGATGCGCCAGACATGATGTATGGTTTTGTGTGAGGGAAAGTGTTTGGAAGGCGGGTATCGTTCAGAAGTGAAGTTTTGCCTTGTGAGAATGCGCGTTGCCTGGTGATCGAGCAGAAAGAAGAGTGGTGGTGGATCGGCGAGGCAAGACGAGCGTAAAGACGAAACGGAAGCTAGGGCCGCGAAAGGGAGGCAGCAAGCCGTCTAAGGGGGTAGAGTGGTGGTGGTGGTGGTGTATCGACGCTGCTTGAAGACACACAGGCCGGGATGGAGGACGAGAAGGAAGAAGTGCGAGGTGCGCCTTGGCGTCTAGGCACAAGCAGCTGTGGGCCCGTCCGAACCAGAATCCCAATCGAGCGAGCGACCCACCGACCGACCAACAGGCGCAGAGGCATTGTGATTCCACATCGACCGGGCCCGCCCTCAAAGGGGCTGCCGCTGGGCCCTGACAACGTGCATGTGCGTCCGTCCACCACGCCTGTGTGCCTGGCGCCGAGGCTCAGGCTGGCGGTTCAGCGCAAGAAAGTTTTTGAGACGACAGGAAATTTTGCGAAAAAAAAA